ATATAGCACCAAATAGCAACTAATCTATATCTCCTGTCACTTTTCACATTGAACATGTGCTCTTTTATTAAATAAACTACGTAACGCTTTCATTTTAAGTTGTGAGTTTAGTGTTTTTGACCCTAAGAAACACCGATGCATTAATCAAAAACAATAATCCACAGCTCCTCTCTCTGCTCCAGAGGATTTAAAAAATATATATATCCCAATGCCACCCCCTAAAAAACCTAGGGGAAACACTGTGCATGTGCATTTGTAGTAAAAGTACATTTATCTCCGGCTCTAACTGTAACCCTTTCTAGTAATTCATTTAAGAGTGGAAACTTTCGGGAATGAAGCTGAAGAGAGTTGGTTAGAATAAACGTGTCATAAAAAATGCCGTGGGCCTGTTATGATTTTTTTGGGAAAAGTTAATAGATTAAAGAAAATCTGCCACCAAAATTGAGGACCAATTAAATCCCTGTCCTTAAGAAAATCACAATCCTCCTCAAAAGAATTAGAGAACAACATAGATACATAACTCAGCCCTCTGGTTGATCTGAGGTAAATACATCTGTTTACAGCCTTCAAGAGAAAGAGGAATTATGAAACATAAAAATCACTGTAAGGGCCAAAGGTCAATTTACCGAGTACATCAGAGCAGTTAAAGTGGGCGTACAGACAATTACTTGTTTTAAGCTTGCAGTAAATAAAACATCTCATGTCAAGTAAATGTTGTGCAGCGAAGAAAGCTCAATAACACCAGCGAAGAAACAAATATAAGAATACCAAACATGACTTCAACAGATCCACATCAGATAAAGGAAATAAAACCTTCATGTCATTTCTTTTAAAAGAACGTTTTAAACACCGTGCACGCACTTTTCATACTTGGAAAAAGTAGAAAAAGTAGGAATCGTATGGCAGTCTGTGACAAAAATATAAGATACACATTAAGCGACGTAACAAACTGAAAGAGTTACCTTGAGGAAAAGTTATTCCCAAATACAGAGCATCTTCTTTGTCCTAAAATGAACGTTAGCAAATAAGTCACTTCGCTCCAAAGTCAATTCCACTCTGACCCGCCTCAGCATCCACCAGAGAAGAGGCAAAAGCAGACTGGACTATCTGAAAGCCAAAAGACTCGAGCAGAGACATGTTCTGTTGGGGGGAGAAGGGAGAGGTCAGGGAGGGGCCCAGCTCATTTAAGGCCGGCCCTGAGGTCCCCTGGGCCTTCTGGGCTTTGTGAACTCTGTGCTGGTGCTTGTTGAGGTAGGACTTGGTGCGGAAAGCCTGACCGCAAATGCTGCAGATAAACTTCTTCTCAGGGTCTGTCTTGGCTTTAGATCCCTCGGGGGAGCTGAGGGCCCCGGTAGAGGCCCCATTACAGGCCAAAGAGGGCATCTCCAGCTCCGGCTCGTCAGGTTTCTGAGGAGATTTAAGCTCGTCACCGTTAGACAATTCCCCAAATGAAGGATCGGATTCTTCTGATTCCAGATGAGGACACTTCCCAGTGTTTTCCTGCCCGTCTGTGGCAAACAGAGCATGGATAGCAAAGGAGAGAGTGAGACAGAGAGAGAAAAAAGGAAATGGGAGGAAAGGAAGGAATGGATTACGACAAATGAATTATATAACAGGTTTGTCACATACAACTTTAATCCAGTAGTTTGTTGGAACCTGAAATATTTAAAACATTTTACTGGAGAAGTTTAGTGAGAAGGCACCTGGTACAAGCAGGGCAGTTTACATCAATTAGTTGACCAATCAGTTGTAAACCAAAAATGTGGCCACAGCTTTAAACTATACAATCATCCATCTTAGTCCATTTGCAAAGTGTCCACAGACTGCCGAGATCAGCCAGCCAGTGGGCCGCGCTAGCACCAAGCCCCCACCCACCCTCCTGCTGGACTATACTGACCTGCAGCAGGCCCATGGACGGGGAAGCCAGGCACCCCGCCAGAGCGACAATCCCAGAAATACGGAGCCCCACCTGCCTTCCCCATGAGCTCAGGCTGCAGAGGGCCAGGCTGGGGGAGAACTGGGGGTCCAGAGAGCCCATGAAAGCGACCCTCTGCCTCAGTGGAGGTGAGAAGCAGCTGGCGACTGGCGCACAGGTCTACACAACACCCGGCCAGGGAGAAAGGAGGGGGGGGGACATCAGAGGCCGGCGGAAACCACACGGACAGAATTACCTTATTTTCATTGATAGTACTTGCAATGCTGTTGGTGAACTAACCTAGACAGGTTTTCTCCTTTCCCTTCTAGCAAATGCCACATTGCTGATTCAACTAGCTGGCGGTGTAATTAATTACTGAAACAGCTATTAGATATTTGCAAAAATCTATAGGAAGAAAATCCTTCATATAACTAAATATCTTCTTTTATAAAAGATATATAAATTGTGTGTTGGATTGTAAGAGCAAGGTTATGGAAGACTAATGCCAAAAAAGCTATTTGAGATAAACGGCTTTTTGTTTTTAGAAAGTTAAGTATTTCTATATTACTTCCTGTGGACATTTATTTCGTGATACATCAATTTATTTTAAACAAGTGCACAGCGGACAGAGTGTGCATACAGAGTCAGTGCAGACAATAACAAATCATTTAAGCTATTAGCCACTTTTTAAGTTTAGAAACTCATGTGTCTTGTTTGTTATTATTATTATTATTATTATCAACTTGGTGTATTTTATGAGATTTAAAAATGTAATATTACATTACATTGCATTTAGCTGACGCTTTTCTCCAAAGCGACTTACCAAGCATACAGCAACTAAGTTATTGCCATTACATATGGGTATATTAACTGCTACTTTGCAAGCTTGCTCACAACGACATGTACTTTTATTAGTTATTGGTGTCTCTTGTTTCTACACAAATATTCAGTCTTTTTCAAACACGTCACATATACATATATATATATATATATATGTATATGTGTGTGACGTGCCATTTGACAATCAGTTAAACTGTCGCATTGCTGATGGAACAATAATTGATATCACTGCAAAGAGTGGTGTGCTCATTTAGTGATACTTATACCAGTGAAGGATTGGGGGGAATAAGCAGATAATGACTCCAATATCAAAGGTCCTCAAACCCCCAACAAGCAGATACTTGCATAATGGCGTAATCTGAGCAAGCAGATAACACCAAAATGCTGCCCAGAGGACCGGGGGCCATTGCTTAGTGACACGACATATCAAAACCCTGCTGGCAAACAATATTGATTTTAACATTCCTGAATTCAAAGGAAATGTACTGATTCCTAAAAAGTTAATTTATTTTCACCTGCAAGGCCAGAAGGCTCATTATTTGTATTCATGTATTTGTTGTGTAAGAGAAAAACCACAGAGAAACATTTAACATCAAAAGCTAAAGGTGATTTCTCAACTTAATCCCAAATATGGTGGTTATAAATCCTTATTGATTAAATGATATTACCACTACATAGAAAAAGGCTTGCAGATTGTTTTAAATACATAAAAAAAGGAAAACGACTAAATATTTATATTTGTTAATATTTTGTGGATTGCGGATGGAAAAAGTGATTAATTTCAGTTGTTTTGATAGTCAATGTCAGTTTGGGAATCAGCCAAACAGTATATGTTTTAATCGCTGTACACATGAGCTTTTCTGATTATTATTATGATAACAGTATTTTAGATACCAGAGCAATTCTACAGATTTAAATATTGTCTTCCAGGAAATCAATTGTGGCTCACTGTATTTATGGTACTGATTTTACAAAGATGATGAATTCAGGGCAAACGGAGTACACTATGACACTCATGCAGCACTATGCATTGCTGAACAACTGCTGATGGACCAGCCAAACAGAAACAGACACCATATGACGCCATGGCCATGCTAGACAGACACACACCAAATAAAGTGACTTTTTACTGTTCCTACATGCAGAACTGGCAACTTTGAAGTCTCCAGACAACTTCTTTGTGTTAAAATACTGTGCGTGAAGATAGGCACTAAGAATTTGTCTGCATTACATTTTAATTTCTCGTTCAATAAGTCCAAATGTTTTAGCTTTTTGACAAAAGCGTGTGGAACAACAGACGGAGTAACTGCCTTATGATATATAACTAAATCTGCAGATTACGAGAATAATTTGAAAAATGCCCTCAGAGGTGAGGAATACTTCAACTTCTATGTGATTACCAAAGGTAGGTTCTGTATATACAGCCACCACCTGAAAGACATTGACAGCTAGCAGAAAGACAACAAGCACATGAAATTGCAACATTAGTTTGAGCGCAAAGCTTGGCAGCAGAGTTTGTGATATGCTTGTGCTTTGAACATATACCAAAGATGCAGCAGCATGTTTCTCCAAATAGCAGCAGAGCAAATGAAAGCCTGAAACATGAAGTTTTGGGATGGGGCGGGCGGCTGCTTGCCTTCCACCGAGCACTGGCGTCCCATGAGGTAAGGGGTGCCGTTGTGCATCTGCAGCTCCCCCCGTGGTTCAGGGAAGATGTGCATTGTGGCGGAGGGGAACAGTGGAGAGCCATGGTGTGTCTTTATATGCACCTTAAGGTAGGACGCAGTGGAGAAACCTGGGACCAGAAGAACAAAGAACAAGGCAGTGGTTTGACAAACTCAAGGCCTTGACTATGTCGAAGGGAACCCTGGCTACTTGTTATTAATGATCAGAATAAGTCTTGAACACTAGAGATTACTGTAGGGGGTGTTATTTCTTAACATTGAAAAGCATTACTTTTCTAATAGACAAGACAGCATCAATCTAAATTCCAGTTTAAAGCAAACGAAGGGAGGTGCACATTAAAGACATGTTCTTTAAGAACCAATCATAGTACTTTTTGAGGCATGTGCAGGTCCACAAGATGTCAACACCAGCCAACGGTATTGGACTCTGTATACAGGTAAAAGCCATCTTTCTGAAGGATGTGTCACATTCAGCATGTGCATTTCAACTTTCCCACAGACCAAACAAACAACTTATTATAAATATGTTGTACACCTCAATGCAACCAATCCCTTAAAGACACAACAATAGATTTGAGGGCCACCATCAAATCAGGTAGCACAGGACCCTGAAATGAGACAACACAGACCCTGGACAAGGCTTTAGTAAGTCTCAGGGGCTTCCTCCTGTGTTCGGCAGAAAATAAACAGAATTGAGGCGCCAACACAGAGGACACCTTTGTTATTTGTCTAAGGAGACATAGCAAAGCCAGTTAAATACCAAAACTGAATGTTACACATTTGTATCCTCTGAATGTCCAACGGCTTCTAACACTGTGATGTATGTTGAAGTATTTGAAATGACTACCTTTGTTGCAAATGCCACAGTAGTTATGCGTCCCTTCGCTGTGTTTCTTGAGGTGGTCTGTCATGTAGGCAGCACGCAGAAACTTGCCGCAAACCTTGCAGGGGATTTTGTCCTCATGGCATGCAAGGTGTGACCGGAGGCGATCTCTTGTAGCAAAAGAGGCATTACAAATCTGTAATATAGAAATTGGTAAGACATTAACACCTTTCTCAAATATCATCTTTTAAAAAGCATCACTAGCTTTGACATGAACTGACATATAGATCCTGATTGTTACCTGGCACTTGTGGGGTCTCTCTGTTGTGTGAACCTGTTTGATATGTCCATTCAGGTGGTCTGGTCTGGAGAGAAAAGAACAAAAGTTATGTCTGTGTTGTCAAGATATGAACCATTTCTAAGATATTTCTACACAGCTCAACGGGCTCCGTCTTATCATAAGCATCCCACCTTTCAAATTGTATGAAATAAGTCTTAATTACTCAACATTAGCAAGCACGTATTCATGCACTACTTTTGTGCAAGTTTATAATCTTGTGAAAACTCCCATCTATTACCAATTGTTAGTAAGCATACAGCTTTGTGAGCATATAATTATGTCCACATAGTCATAAATGTATATTTCGAAACTCTCCCTCATCACATTTTTGGACTTTTTGCTAAATCATTACAACAATGAGAATTATTTAGCCCATTAACTGCATGCATTTTAACCTCCTAATCAGTAGGTGGTGACAGTGAGTTTAAAGCAGGGCCTGAGAGCTGGGAAACTGGTTTGTGTGGTTGAAGACTAATGACTCAGATAACAGGTCACTGTAACGGATGTGCAGCTTTCTAAAAACACTAACCAAAATGTGTATGTATGACAACACTTAAGAGTGTGTCAAGGTTTGCAGTTAGTGGCCTTAAACTAGCTAATAATACAGCCTTTCACTCATACCCTTTCAGAGACTGAACCCCAACCTCTCTTTGTTTACTGGCATCAACACACAATAATGACTTCTTATTGCTTAACTAATGTTGCTGTGTTTGAACCTAAGATCTGGATCTATTCTGCTAAAGATAAAGTAGATTAACCGCTTTCTGAATAGCAAGGCTGTCAGCTTTGATTAGTTTCTGCTTTGTTGCAAATATGTGGTTTTACAGTTGTGTGATTGTGAGTACTCAATTTATACCTGCTAGTACTGTCCTTTAGGTATTATATGCAGATACACAGAGCTGCATAGTAACAAACAATGTCCAGATAGGGGGATTTAATCATTGTGACAGCAACACTGTTAAGTACAGGACATGCTGTCAATGTGAATAAAGTTAAACTCACCTTGAAAAACCTTTACCACAGCTTTGGCACACATAAGGTTTGCCGACCGAGCCGTCATGGGACCGAACATGGTATGACATCCTGTCCTTACGTTTGAACCGGAGTCCGCACACATGGCATGCGTACGGCTTCTCCCCGGAATGGGAGAGCTTGTGTCGGTTCAGGTGGTAAACGTCGCGGAAAACTTTACCGCAAATGTCACAGCCAACATGCCGCCTGGTCCTCTCCCGTTTGCGACCGTTGTCAAGCCCTCCGTGTAACTGCACGCCGTTTTCCTCCAGAGCAGACGGAGACATTAAAGAAATGTCGCCCGTTGTTGACAGGCTGTCACTGACGTTGTTTACACCGAGGTGTGCTCCGTGTTGCGCTTCGTGGTTCTTTAACCGGGAAGCCTCTGTAAACGCTTTACCGCATGTCCCACATGGAAACAGCCCAATGTCTTTCGGAGTGCTGTGATTAAAGTGTACAGCCTCCATAACCCCGCTAGCTTTCTTTGCTCGCCCCCGGTTTCTTTTCGACCCTGGGGATGCAGCGTCGTGCTGAAACGTGTTCCCCGGTATTTCCGTTGATGGGGAAACGGACAGTCCTTCGACAGGCTCCAACAGTGGCATCGAAGGATCGCCACCGTCCTCCAATAACACAATTCCGGGGTCTTCACTCCCGTCCACATGCATCTGTGCATTGTTAGCAAAGCTTTGACCGTTCACCAGCAGCCCCGTGCCGTTCACCAGATCCTGCTGCGCCACCGGGAAACCCAGCTCCGCGGCCGCTGTGGCCTGGAAGAGGCTGGCGTCTCCTCCCCGCGACGTGGGGACCATGATCTGGACGTTTGATTGTTTGATTACCTCCTGACATATCTCAATAACGGACCGCATCAGCAGGAACTTGGCAGCTGTCATCAACTCCGGGAAGCACTCGAGTCGCACCACGATCCTGGAGGTGTAGGCGAAGTCCAAAACGTCTTTAAAAACTTTGGGGCTGATTGTGTGCATCTCCAGCTCTCTGGCGTCGCCTTCGCCCTCCGTCTGGCGACTGAACACCGACTCGAAATACTCGCTGCACGCCGCTAACACAGCTTTGTGTGCCGGGAAGCTCTCCTCGCCGACGCGTAGGATCACATCGCAGAACCTGCCTCCATCTTTCCTCTGAACGTTGAGGTTGTGTAGCATCTCCGCACTGTGCTTGCTCACCTGATAGGTGTACGAAGAAGTCCAAGACGGCTCCGCTACCTTCTCCATGCCGAATTCATCCAATAACAATGGTTGTTAGCGTCAACGGTCGGAGAAACAGCAGATTCGTGTGTGATGTCTCGAGCAGTTAGCTACAAAATACAAAACCAACCGCCCCTCCCCGTCGTTTTAGCATCTAACGTTAAACGTTAGCAGTAGCAGCGGGGGAAAATGGCAGCCCCCCAGCTTCCTGTGAACTTTGACCCTGGTTTCTTGAGGGGTGGGGGTCGCTCTTGTTCGGTGGAAAATATTTCCCTAGGGTTTGATATTGAATATGTTTTTTGTTGTCGTATTTCTCTCTTTGTAATGACTGTCAGAGTAGCGCCCCAGCAAAGCAGGGGTCTCTCGCGTCTTCTTTACAAAACGTTAACACGCAGGTCTCTTCCTGTCTGCTCTGTTTATAAATCCCCTCCCCCAACCAAACAGTAATACCAAGAGAAAAAAAAAACCTTCCTCTGTACGAGTGCATTCTGCAAGCATCATTGTATTGTACAAGTCACTAGAGTTAAGTTGTGGTTTGACAAGACAAGAAAATCAATGCAAACGCTCGATCCAGCATTATTGTAAACATTAAAATAATGCTTCAATAAATTGAGATTTTGGGCTTTTTGAACAGGGTTCAGATCCACTTGTTACTAGTGTGTGTGTGTGTGTGTGTATATATATATATATATATATATTAAAAAAAGATATTGAGATTACACTTTGTCCATTCCCATCTAAGGAGGGGGTGGGCAGAATATTATAAACTTAACCCGAGGTGGGACACAGGCTGGAAAATAAGTGAATCAACACCTGTCAGTATCAACACATTCTGAACACAACTACCTTCACTGAGATATGCCTTATTGCAGCCCATTGTACAGAACTAGATTAAGGCTGCAACAACTAATTGTTTTCATTATCCATATCAAAAAATATATAAAATTTAGCCTATAGTAAAAAAAATAAAAAAATAGGTATTACCACCACAGGTGCAGAGGCAAACATGACATTTCAAATATGCTGTTTTGCTTGACCAAAAGTCCCAATACTGCAAAAAAATAAAAGAGACTGAAATACACAAAAGTTGCCAATTATGTTGCCAATTATGTTTTTTGTCCATTTATCAACTTACTGTTTCAGCTCAAGACTTGCCTGATCAAACAGGTTTTTGAAGAAGATGCCAATCGAAAACAGATCACGAATCATATCACGAATATGTGCATTTTTTAAGAAGACAATATTTCCCAAATCATATCTTTGACATTACTGCACGGACATGCACTTTTGACCCAAATTTGTTTTCCGATGCTGTAGAATCTCAAACAAGCCAATACTGGCTTCCAAATACATTTTTCGCACTCTACATAAAACATTTCCAAACAACCAAGTAACTTACTTTGTTAAATGTCTTGAGCAGCTCAACGATAAGTGCAGAGTACCTTTCCATTCAAGCAATAATTGGTTCATTTTGATATTAGAAAGCGAGCAAGACTACTTTTTTGCATTTCTCCTGTGCATTTGACCAGTCTATTTTCTACTGTCGAGCACGTCTAGTTTGTACATAGTTTAGATCAACACAAAGTGGCCACTTTGTTATTAATGCAGCAGTAGTCTGATTTTGTACTAAAATCTAAAATACATTTTTACTAAACATGTTGTAACAAGTGCGACAAGGGAAAGTCCCAATGTATGCGAAAGCTGTTATATATTGGATTGTACACGATACCTAACAAAGTGGCCACTGAAGGTACATATATGGGGAATTCAAAATCATTTAAAAGAAAAAAGCAAATTGTGTTTACTGAATTTATTTATTAATTCTATTTGTGCTTTTTATAACTTAATAGCACATAAACAAACTGAATCCCAACCACCCTCAACAAATTGACAATGTGAGCAATGCTGCTCCCCTCAGTGACAGAATGGATGGGAGAGGATACAGTTTAAACAGAAGAAAAAACCCACAAAGAAAGGCACAACCTGCACTCGCTGCATCCCGCGGAGTTGTTTTGAAATGCTCCAGCCAGTCACATCTACAGAAAAGGGCCACTAGCCATGCCACAAAAGGGGAAGAGTATACACTGGAGTTACTCATCAGTCCAACATGTTTCACTAGCAGTAGCCCTTCCTCAGTGCAGTTCAGCAGGGAAGTTCAAGTTGGAAAAGACAAAGGAATGCTACCAACTCTTGGGGACTCTATCCTGCAGTTCAATTGGAAGCTGTGAGAGACAGTTTCACCTTCCCCATTTCAAGAAAAAAAAAAAAATCTATATACAGGGAGAATAAGGTTCTTTCCCATGGTCTGTACAATTGGGCCTATACATTATTTACTGCGCAAAGCCTAATACAAAAGAAAAATGTTCACTCAGTCGGCAAAGCAAATGGCCATCACTCGTCTTCCCTTTCCTGCTGATAAGCTTCTTCAAAAAGCAGTGACTTCAAGGTTGAAGACAAAGCATGGCATGGTTAGACTGTCTAGGTCTGTGCACCGTCATTCAAATTAAAGTTCACATTTTTACGGTAACGAGGAGGTGGAGACGGGAAAAAAGGAAAAAAAAGATCTTGCTATCCAGCAGTGTTTATTTTCTTATGGCCGGAACTCCAATTCATCTACGCTTATGACCTTGGCCGGCATGGAAGGGAGTGGCTGTTCCAGCATGTCTGACCCAAACCACTGGGCGAGGCCTGGAGGGGGAGGGCCTCCGTGCTGCTGGGGGCCATTTGTCCGGTGAGGGCCATGGCTCTGTGTCTGAGAGCCTGGGACACCATGATGCACTGCAGGATGAGACAAAAACATAGATTAGTAAGTTAAGAAAAATAAATTAGTCGTCTCATCCAACTTGCCCATTTCTGCCGTTTTCTAGCCTATCTATATATTTGTCCTGGAACATTCTTTACTTTTTCCCGGACCTTTTATTTTAAGTTACTCCTGTGGCAGTATTCAGTGACTTAAACCTATGAGGGGAGGTGAAGCTGCCACAAATACATGCCCACACTCAGTCGTAACAATTGACTTCCACTCACTTGGTCTCTGTTGCTGAAGCTGCTGCTGCATTGCTGCTAACTGCATCTGAGTATTGGTTCTGGGAGGTAGAAGGGGATGCCCTGTTGCACTTAGAGGGTACAGCTGTTGTCCAAGCAGGGCAGGAGGCAAGCCTTGGAGTTGGGCAAGGTCAATGTGTTGTGGGAATATACCTGGTGTGAACAAAAAGAGTCTTAACATCATTTTATTTACAATTAAGAATAAAGCACAGGGAAAAATACAAAACAATTACCTGCTTGAACAAGAGCAGGTCCAAGCTGCTGGGGCTGGATACCTTGTGCCAGCATCCTTTGAACCACGTTTGGGTGGAGCTGTGGAGGAGGGCGCGCCATCGGCACATGGGGGAGCAGCGGTACCGAATAAATAGGACGAGGGAAAGATGAGGGTCCTGGTGGAGCCATGCTGTGAGGATGGTGCCCAGCGGAGCCAGGCCTGAGACAATCCTGGTCCTTGCTTGGCATGTTATGCGAGCCCACCTTTGAATCCCCAGAATGGGAATTGTTCCTGTCCATCGCCTCCAGGTATAGATTTGGGGAGCTGCAGTCTGTAATCATAGAATCAATTATCAGCGTTAGTGTTGTAGAACTTTGACGCATGTTCAAATCAGGAAATGGTTTATTCGTACCTTCTTGAGGGTGTCCTGCCTGGTCCTCCTTGTTATCCGAACGACACGATTGTTCATCTCTGTTTTTCTCTTTTGTAGCGTACATTTTGCGGATCACAGATGTTGGTGTAAATGATGGAGACAGCTGTAGTAAGAAAAACAAAAATAAGTGAACAAAAACAATAATACTTGCAATGCCAAGAAGTGTAAAGGTTACAAAAAAACGGTTTGAAAAGTCCAACTTCCCAGGATAGCTGGACAGAGAAAGTGTGTGCTCACCATGCTGGTGACAGGGTTGCCTGGAGAGTTTCTTCCAGCAGGCTGAGGGCCTGGACCAGGGGAGCGAGTGACATGCTGCAGTCTGTGAAGGACAAGCACATCAGCAATATCATGAAATGCACCAAGCTGTATTTGCGATTCATAACAGTTACTGAAATTAACCAGCAAGACACACGGCTCAATATGAATGAGTTCTTTATAGAGTATCAATATCACTGATTAGCTAAGGAGGCATTGTAAAGCTGAAGTCTGCTATTCCGGAGAAAGATTGTCTGAAGTAAAACCCCTGTACGCGTCTCCAGTCAGTGTTCCTTCAGGACATTTGCATGTGCCAGTTATTCATCCTCAGCCACACTGCCTCATCTGAAGGCCTTTTCCTCACTGGAAAGGTGTTGTGTGGCTCAGGGCTTCACCAACTTGTTGAAGCTTCATTTATGTTATTAATGAATGAGTGCAATAGTCCACCTTGCCCTTCATCGACTCCGCGAGCACTGCAACACTTATAAAACTGCCACACTATTACAAATAAGTTTGTTTAAAATGAAAATCCATTTTGCCTTTAAAGAAACATTTCCAATGTTGAAGAAACTAAAATCTCCTTGACGGAAACAAAGAAACTGTATATTCAGACCTTCATCATTTCCCTTTAAATACATAAAATGCAAAATATATATATTTTTTTAAACATACCTATTGCGAAATAATTTATCCTGTTGTTGCTTGTAGCCAGGATGGTAGGAGTGGTGGCCATGTAGAGCGAGGTCCTGTTGATAGGCCAGAGCTTCCAGATCCGCCTGATTCACCGGCATGGAGAGCGCTCTCATCTGGTCAAACGAATAAAACACTGCTGAAGGGATACTTTTCTCAAAAATGTTTGATTTTTATTATAGCAACAACAAAGAACAGAAGTTGCTGCTATGTGCAAGCTTTAGCTTTCCAGGTGAATGAAAGTCCAATGAAAATTGTTTGGGCATTAACTAGTCCATTAAACTTGAATCAGATTTCTATCATACAAAAAAAACACCACAATAACTTCAGTTGGCGAACTTTATCACATCGTATGTGTGTATGTGGTCAAAAACTGTTTACGGAACTAGAGTCAACAAACAGTGGTTCTTACTTTTGTATCATGAGCTCTAATTGGCTCCTTCAGTAACTATCAACCAATTTCCATTGTTAAAATTACCTGTTGCTGTACAGCAGATCCCGGACTGATAGACCTGTGTACATCAAAGTGTTCTGGCAGCATGGGCTGATGACTAACAGAGAAGCCTTGGATTTGAGGGGAAAAAAAGAATCACTCTGCTGGTCTGACAGATATTATCTACTGGAGCAACACATGTTGGATGGATTAAAGCCCATTGATAGAAAGAGGGTGCAACATGCAATGCACTTACCTCCTGAAGGATGCAGGCGACTGGTGTAGTATTCAGGTGAGGGGGCCCTCTGTGGAAAAAGAGGGGGTGATGGGCCTTTGTGTAGCAGGCCATGTAGAGAGGGCGGTGCACTTGGGCCCTGAGAGTTTCCCAATAGATGTCCAAGCAGTATAGGGGAGTTACTACGAGGAGGCCCTCCCAGGAGCTCCTACAATATAAACACATTTCAAAATGTCACAATTCACTTTAATGTGATTAATCCAGCATTGAGCTTCAAAAGCCAAACTATGAGCTATATTACAGCTACATTAAATATAACCTATATATTATGTGCCAACCTTCCCCCAACAGCTCAGGCGTAGGAACACTTTTAGATACAGCACACAAAGTGAACAAGTGCATTCAGTGCATGACATTAAGGATTTTGGGAGATGGCCCTGTGGGCCATCTAAGCTAATTTACAGATGGCCCTGAACCCAATAGAGATTGCCCTGAAAAATGCGGACGAAATGGCACGAAGGGTTTGGGGGGCCTCCCCCTAGAACGTTTAGATTTTTCCAGGTCTTACTGTAGATGCTGTCTGGTGCATTCTCGAGACTGAATTATAAGATGAAACACCACAAAATTATATTGTACAATTTCAATTGTATTCGCTTGCATGCCCTGCATAGCTATAAGAAATACTTAAGTTGGCAAATGCCTTCCCAGATGTAAAAAAGTAGAAAACATTACATTCAGTTATAACTGCCAAAACAAACATTATTTACACTATTATGGCCCCTGTTAAAAATGTTTGTAATGTTATCTACTGTAAGTTGGTCGAATGAATGCTTCCTCATCCGGAAGCTGACCGAGCAGCAGTCGAGAGGAGCCGAGTGCATCCGCGAAGCATACAACATGGTGACGTCGGAGTTCCCGTTAGCCGGCAAATCTAAAACTCTTCGGTCAAAATAATTTCCCTTTAGCGCAATACCGCTTCAGTTGCGCCACTTTATGTGACAGACAATAATAGTCAATTCTAATGTCTAACACTTAATGTGGAGAAAGAGATGTCCTGTCTGGGTTGATTGTGTGTTGATCTGTTGGTAATGCCTCGGGGTTCCGGTGGGCATGTAAACAAATGCATAATGCTGCGCTATACTTTGTGGCCTCACCCGGTTGCATAGCGACACTTATTGTTTAGGTGTCTTTTAATAAGCAGGTAGTCATATCATTAGCTAGAACTAGCTGGATCTGATCGATATGGACATAAACGCGAGTGAAGTCTAATCTGACGGGAGAGAGAGATCAGCTGCTGCTGACGAGTCGAAACGCAGCTCTGCATGATCACATGCAGCGGTGAGCGGAACAAAACACACACTTCAGGTTAGAATATCACACGTAGCTATTTTAATTACCTCTCAAACTACCTAAACTAGTTATAGATATGTTTAGTTTTACTGTCGGGTCACTCATTACTGGATCCGCGAGCTGCATGATACTGGCATAATAGATTGCCCGATCGGGCAACCAGCAGGTGAGGCTTCATTGCCCGAGCTAAATACTAGATGGCCCCGGGCCATCGGGCAGTCCTTAATGTCGAGCCCTGGCATTTATAGTTTCTTATTTATTCTTTTCTGACCATTACTGTATTCAGCAATAAGGTGGATTCATGGATTAATGAGTTTCAGTCTGACCGCTATAGGACTTTTTACACTTTGTCAGCAGTTGACAGAAAAGTAATGCAAAGTTTTGAGAGTCTAGAGTGCTTCAGAAAATGTGGCAGCATCTAATGGCTAGTACACCTACCGTCCTCAGTGCATATAGCCGTCTTCCCAGCAGGGAACATACAATCATTTCAACTGCACAACAATTGGGACATTTTAGGCAGCCTGTAGTAAGATTGGAAATTCGAAAATAATCTCGAGGAGACGAGGACCCAATACAAAATGCAGAAGTTTCAAATACAAAAACACTGGGAGCAGAATAATTGAGCCACAATTCATTGAGCAGCCGCTGTTGAAAAGGGTCACAACACACATCATTACCCCCTGGACTCAAGTTGACACTTCATCTACTGAAAAAACTATTTAGTTTGGGAACAGGAATAATAATCACAGGAAAAGGGACCTTAAATACAGTGTCCCTACTGAGACCAGATTGGACTGAATATAATTGCACCTGGCTCTGTTCTTGTATATAGTGACCTACTGGACATTGAGCACCTCTAGCAAACTAAACATTTAACAGACCTGGCCTGATAGGATAGTGAACATACACACCTGGAATATGTTCTTCTGCTGCTGCTGCTGCTGCTGCTGCTGCTGCTGCTGCTGCTGCTGCTGCTGCTGCTGCTGCTGCTGCTGCTGCTGCTGAGCTTCAGACAGTGTAACCACAGCTGGGTCTGAATGTTGCTGCTTTAAACAGGGGAGAAACAATTAGTGGCACGTTCAATGCAAGCCAAAACAACACTTTCACTGCAAAAATCCATCCCAGTAAGAGCTCGTGGTAGACATTTAGAAGTGTCAAAACTTCAGGCCTTCAGGTATCAAATGATAAAATGTGGAACCGTATCAATTACAGAATTTGGTGAAACCCTTTCAACTGCAAACCCACTGCGATGGATTTGTACACAAGAGTTGTAATCCAAATGTCCCTCAGGCAAGTCGGATCTGCCTTTGGATACCCAATATTTTCATCTTTGCACAATGACACAGCTGACACTTCTTGTCACAGTATAAAGACAAAACTAGATTAGAGATAAAGGAAACCTCCAGCTTGTATACATCTCTCAAACAAAAGGATATGTAAACAAATGTATGCCCATCACTCTGTAGATTGTCAGTTCTTTTTTAAATGTGACCTATCCGAGTTGTAAAAGCTTTCATGCAGCTTCAGACAGATTTGTCTGTTAGGAATCCAGGGAAAGCCTGTGTTAAGATAAAACCATATAAATCAAATACTTACGTTGTTTGTGTTGGTTTTGGGGTGAGTTGGCAGAGTTCCACTTGCCTTCATGCTGCTGACCAGATTATTAAAGGCTGACATGTCCGTGTCACGTGAGCGGGGCCGGACGCTGGGGGCCCCTGTTAAAGCCTCCTCTAGATGCTGCGCCATGAAGGGCGTGCCGTTTCCTCTCTGCGGAGGCGGCACCTTTCGCACCTGGGGTTCTGAGCTCAGCTTCATCCCCTTCATCCCTCCCTCCACTTCCTCCAGAGAGAGCACCGCTCCACAGTTAGCTGGGGACACATATATACCATTTCACTTTCAAGAGAAAGGACAGTGTCTTGGCCAGCCTTGCAATACACAATATTCAAAGTGATTGTCTTCTTAGTCCAGTTTTCAGGTAAACAGCTGCAAAGACTTTTTTTTGTATTCATCTAAAAGTGTTTACAATTGTGTACCATATTAGCCATGTATTGCTACTAAGGATCATTTGAGACAGCATGCTCATATATCAATACTACCCAACTATACATGAACAAGATGTCTAGTGCACATTATCGTTCTAGCTGAATTGTGTGAGGGTATAACTCTACTGTGAACATGTTTACGTTAAGTTTCACTCACTGCTTTCCCGTAGTCGAGCCTTGTTCACAGACAGGGTGGAAAGAAGAGGCTTCAGGTCTATTTTGGCCTTGTGCAGCAGCTCCAGGATGTCCACCTTCTCCTTGCACTCCGATGATTGAATAGGTGTGAAGTATGAGACGGGGCCTTGGCTAGAGGACGGGCCACGTGGCTCCAGCCCTTCAGGGGAGCAAATAATCCAAACATTCAATACATTTCACAGAAACAGGGTTTGGGGGCATGAACATTACAAAGGAAGAGTCCACAAAGCCCGTAATCACATAGCACTGGAGTTTGGTGTCCACACAATAAGATTTGAAATAGCATTTAGTTTGACCCCCTGGTGATTGAGACTATGAACAGTGAGTAAGTTACTGCATCATTTTAAAATTAAAATGTTTCAGAAACGCAAGTAGAGTAGCAAGCAGCATTACTGCCCCCTGAAATCTAACTAGGGTTACCAGGGTCACCAGGGTCTTTCATGTTAATGTTTTCATAACTTGCATGTCAAAACACAGTTTCAACTAGGTCTGCTCAATTATGGCAAAAATCATAATCTCGATTATTTGGGTCAATAATTGATATCACGATTATTAAAAACGATTATCCATTTACTTTGAAAACATCCATTTATTGAAAAATAAAAATGGAACAGTATGTTTTAAACAGTTGATTACCCTGAACTTCAAGTATAATTCAACTGAAAAAAAAAAAGAAAAGAAAAGTAAAAAATATATAATCGTTTCCTATATATATATATATATATATATAAAGAATATATAATAGTTTTATTTCGATTATGTTGTTTTCATAATCGTTGCAAGCCAAAATCATAATTGCGATTAAAATATGATGATTAATTGAGCAGCTCTAGTTTCAACCAATAGTCATTTTGAGCTACACAGTGAGATGGAATCGACATAATGAGATTTAGCTTCTTTGGCAAAAATCAAATCATTTACCTGCAAGTTTTTCCAGCTCCTCGTGGGGAGTGGACCTCAGGCTGCTGGACCGGCTTCCTGAAGGGCTCAGGCTGCTGGAGAACCACTGACTGAAGCGGCTAGCCGATACAGGTCCATCCCCCAAAACATCCTCGATCATCTGCAAGACAGAAAAAGGCGCCTGTGAAACAGAGTGAGAAACACAAATAACTGAAGGCCGAACGGTACAAGGACAGAGCTGGCACTTACGTTTGGGCGTTTTTCATCGATTTAGCACAAAATGTGCCAGAAGATAGAAAACTTTAAATACACTGCTGTTTGGCCTTGTGTTGATTTAATGCCACGAATCCTTTCTTATTTAGTTTCTATACTGGCTCTTTTGCAGGTCTAATGTAGCTATCATGATGGGCATACATTTGGATTGATGATACCTTTTAAACCCCTTTACCCCCATGCAATAGTTTGCCGACAAAAATATTTAGAAAAGTTAACCCTTAAGTGACATAACCCACCACCACAGATCAGGTTTAGTGAGTTGAAGCCGGTGCAGCAGAGGTAATGCTGTGCTCACAAGAATCTGCAATACTTCGATTACTTATTTTAAAATTATACAAGACCGTATGATAATTTGTGAGGTCAGGTTTGTGTGGGGGTAGCTTGAAAACCTCTACTGTTAAAGGTCAACTTACTGGAAGACTACAACAGGATACAGGAGTTATAAATGCCATCCCATCTGTGATGTTCACACACTGAATATAAAATCACCCAACATTCCACACAGTGCACCCCAGTACTTACAGAGGCCAATCCTGGCATGGTCTTCTCCAGATTGAAGAACTCATTGAAGTCAAAGTCTCCAGTGGTCTGCTCAGGCAGGACATCAGGGTGGGGAACCTCCTGATCGGCAGTAGGACGCAATCCTGAATCTTGCTCTTCTGACTGTCCACCGTTACATTCCACAGCTGTACAACAAAAATCAAAAGCTTAAATATCCACCTGAAGTATGCTAGTTATCCAAATAGTACAATGCAATTAAATAACTTCTGAAAACTCATGCCTTCTCTGATGGACTCTGCCCGCTTTCTTGATCGCTTGGACTTATTGCGCCTATCATCCTCAAGGATTTTGTCGTCAAATCCAATGAGCTCAATTGTCTCAGACTGGCTGGTGGGACCAGCTGAAAACCACTCGGGCTCCTCCTCTGCATAAGAGTCATTCCTTCTCCTTTCACTGAACACACGTTTGTCCCCAAAATCCCTCTGCTAAGGATGAGACAAGAGAAACATGACTGTTAAACCCTCACAAGCTTGTTATAGGGACGTCTCCTGAAATAAAAGTTTTGCATGAACCAAGCACCCTCATGAAGCAGGACTGTTGACTTCCTCTAGTAGAGAGCACATTTTGAAACGTGAATTTCTCTTGAAACATCTATGAGCAATCGTACTCACATTTATAAGAAATGCTAATCTCAATCAACTGGGAACAAATGTTTGTCTAAAAGCAAAGAACACCAACCCGGAATCTTTTATCTTTGAAGTCTCTCTCTCGTTCCCTCTCTTTCTCTACCCGGGCTTCTCTCTCAAATGCGCGTGCAGCAATTATACGGCCGCTGCCGATCCTGCGTGCTCCTCCTAGACGGAGACTCTCATTCTCCTTATTTTCAAGGGGGCTGATTGGGCGACGGACATGGGGTGCAAGTGCAGCGTTGCCTTGACATCCACCTCCAAAGCTGCGTCGCTGTGGGCTCAGTATGACATCCAGATCATCCTCCTTTAACCGCTCACGAGGATCTGAAAACAGGGCAGCAAAATGGCTCGGCTTTAGATGATTTACTCGTTTAACACTCAGTCGCATAACCAACAATCCAAAGTCAGCCTACATAAAATACTTTCTCAAGAGAAATTGTTCATTTAATTCCTGCCTCTATTATATTGTCTTCTTATTCTTATCTTATTCAAATATGTGTTAAAGTATAATTCGAGGCTGCTGAATGATTAGGAGGTCTGAAAAAAACAGCAACCTTTTCTTCATAATTGTACTGCTTCATAACATATCAGTCGATCACTTCTGACTAACTTCCTCTAATGGAAAGTAGTATCATTTTATGCACCATGTTTGGTTTTGAACGTTAATCGTCAAGTTTCTAGCTTTCGGTCATTTACCTGGGATTCTTCGTTTCAAAGGAACTCTGTCATCCACATAGTCCTTCTTAAAACCTTCCACTGGAGAGCTACGCCCTGACGTGGGATACAGGGAGGCATGCCACTTCTCAGGATCCCAGACACCTTCACTGTATCAAAAGACCATTTCAAAAAACAAAGTTCAAAACAAAACAGTTAACGCTGCATTTCTTGTGTTCTGCATCATTCTATTGAAGGCAATTCTGATATGCATTTGACTCAAGTGTTACTACTATTAATGTGTTAATCAAACACTCACTCAAAAAATAATTATAAAGTAAACCACTTCCTGAATAACTGACGCAAAAAAAAGAAGCTCTTTGCAGAAAGGACAATCATTTCAGTAGAAAACACAAATCGGGTGATGATTAGGTTTTAGACAAGACTACAAGTACTTCTCAGATTGCCACATAAGCAGAGCTTTGCTTGGCATTTCAAACAGCTAGACTTGGAAGGTCGGAATATTGAATTTTATCAGCAGATGTCCTGAAAATCTGCTCCATATCTGAAAGCTACGCAATGCTTTCTTTAAATAAAAAATTGTGAAAGACAGCATTTGTTAAATGATGTTTTTATCTTAAACAGCTTTTAGAGCACACTAACAACATTAATACAAGTGATATGCAGACCAAAGACTTGCTTTGTGTGTGACATTATTTTAAAGACATCACAACAGCTAACATCAGAACACATCTTTGTCTAACTACTTGTAGCATTGCGTGGTCAATATTTCCAGAAGTTTCAAGAAATTAATGAAACTAAAACAGCTGGTCCTGACGGTATTCCTTTTTTTGTGTATTAATTATTTCGGACGTGTGTAAGAAACAGCTTTACCTCATAAAACCATTGATGAAAAGTTAATTGAATAAGACAAATGTTGATCCTATACCCTTTACACACTTCTAAAGGCATATACAACTAGACAAATCTTTACTTGCATATACATAATTTGATCTCCATGCTGAGACGTAGTGAACCTCATCAGCATGTGAGAACATGGGCTATTTTCCCCAGAAAAGCAACATAAATCTTGTAATGGAATGTGTTAGTTTTTAATAATCAAACTTGTCCCAGAATTACAAATGATTAAATGTCCATCAATATGGCTTTCCAGCATATAAAGAAAAGATACTGATGTTGTACATTCTGAATGAATGCTGTAGGGTTTTTATTCTAATCAGCTCACCACATACCTATTTAAGTCATTTACTGTAAAAACAAAAACCGCTATGATATGCCATTGACGCAAATCGAGGCAGCCTCATTTTACATAATTAGCCAAACAACACGGTGTGGATTTTTTATGATATGGAATGCATCCAGAAAATAAATTCTTACCTGTCATATTTATCAGAGAGACAGTCTGGCCGTTCATTGGATACTGGCAGTTCTTTTATTTCCAAAAGCTCATCCTGTATAATAATTAATATTGGTTTATTTGTGTTAGGAAAAATTCTGCATGGTTATTTTGCTGTCATTTTACTCATGTCTCATCACCTTGGAGTATCTGAAAGGAGTCGTGGCTGCTGGCTGTTCAACTTTATCCACGGCAACATCTCCATTCTTCTCTTCTAAGCCAGCATCGCTCTCCATGACTGATTTCAGACACAGAACAAACTTTCTCCAGACCAACAATGACTCTGTTCCTGTTGGAAACACATGCAACGTTTCTAGGTTAATACAATTGCTCCACTGGCTTTTTTTGTTGGGAGTGTGTTAGAATAAAGCCTTTAAAAGCGCAAATGGATACTTCAATACAAGCAGTCTTTAAATAACACAACAGAACGTCTTATTTAAATCAACGTTTTGCTGCGGAAAAAAAGAGTCGATATTTTTGCATGGAAAGATGAAAACAAAGAGGATAAGTTAATGCCTCAAACGTGAACAAAAAGCAAACAATTATACACAAATTATTAATACACTCATATATAAAGTCGAGCTAACTTACACTGGGACGCTGTGCACTAATTAGGAAGTTAATTGACAACAGCCAGAAACCGGTGACAAGAGAAGTGACACGTCAATTAAAATAATTTACCTAGCCTTAGCGTTAATTGCCAGCAAAGTTAATATCCGGGCTGTGAATAAAACCGTTTGAGATACATCTCCGGCTAGAAAAATTGCAGACAGTTATTGTTAATTCTGATAAATTAATATTTTGTTTACCGTTCAAGGGAAATATGAGCTAACAATTAGCTACAACATTGGAAAGCTAAGCTAGCGTCCCACACAGTTAACTCTATACATCATTCGTGATGTAAACTGTGTACAATCGACTGGCTTGCAAACATATTGATAAAAACACAGTCAACTCACTCAGTTCAAATGATGCGTTGAATACTGGCTGATAACGGTCGAGCAGCTGCTGTTCACGGTTAGTTAGTTAGCTAGCTAGCTAACCTAGCACCTTCAGCTAGCTAGCTAACTAGCTGGGAAATGGGGATAAAGCCCACCCAGCGAGTACCAAATACGAAGCCGGCCGAGTTGTTTCAGTTATTTCAGTAAAAGCACACTTAACTGGGGTAACTAAACAAAAGAACACAGGTCAAAATAACAAATTAATTTACAAGGAGACTGTGTAATCTCAAAGTATTGTCTGCTCTATCTATGTTTTCTAAGTCGTAGCACCAATTTTCCTCTGATCACCGCTTTAAGAAGGTCCTCGGAAAGATTACATTGTGTCCTTCGCGCCTGTGTAGAATTGTATATGCTGTGGTGTGCATTGGCCTTGTTGTATTTTAATATTAACACTGTGATATATAAATGGTATGTTACGAGTAAGATAATTGTGCTAGTCTTGATAAAAATTGGTCAAATAAGTCGGACTTGCTTTGAAGGAGTACAACTCACACTAAATGTAAGAACATCAAAAAGGCATTATTTTGGGCAGCCTCTCATTGTCTTGGGGTTTGTCTGATTTGTTACTCAGTAATATCCGTCTGGGGTGATTCTTTGTGAAAAAATGTTTCGTCTGCTCTGGAAATATACACAGTCATTACCTGTTTGCTGAGGCAAAATAGTTGCACATTTATCTTGAATTTACTGTCTGTCATTTTGTGTTTTGTTTTTGAGAAATGGGTTGTTTTTTAAGCTAGGTTCAACAACAACAAAAATAAATAGTGCACGTTCTAATCGTTCCAATCAACCACATTTAAGTGTTTGAAAATGTTTACATTGTTATATATTAATTTGTTTAAGTAGGGTCTCACCTGAAAATATATTGAACCATATGATATGCCAACAGAGAAAAGACAAACAAAAATGTTTTAAAAAGCTTTACATTCAATTTAATAGACATTACAATTTGTTTTACATATTTGTATTTCCCTGTAGCCTATATATGTATCTGTTTCATACTTCTTTTAATTTGTGCTTTCTATAACTCAAATAAATAAAAATAAATGTGTATTTGTGATAACCCGCCCTCGCGAGCTGTCCAGGACTGACATTACGAGTGGACCTTACTATGGAAGGACCCCGGGGGCAGCGACAATATAAATATCTCGTAATTAAAATAGTATTGTTTATAGAATAAGTTCATATAGCCGCTGCCTTGTATTCAGAGGGAAATATTATTAAACAGTTTGAAAACACACACATTTAACGACCACCAAGTAAACTCAGCGCAGTGTACACCTGTTGCCGTTGACGACCCACACGCCACACCCCCTGTCATGTGACGAGGAAAAACAAATGCGCGGCAGTTACCTAAATAATAATCACTCCGCAATGTGTTAGTATTCCAACTTTTATTTCAGATGTGATGTCGGGTTTATTTCGTTCTGTAAGCCACAGGTCTGAGTGAATATCATGCAGAGTTCCGTTGGCAGAAAGCGAGATACGAGCAGCCGTGTCAGCTCTGGTGCTGAAAGAAAACAAGTCCGCAAAGTTCATACCAGAAAGATACCATACAGAGTGGGATACAGCTGGAACAAAGGCGGAAGACTCAAAGAGCTGAGAATAAGGTGCAATTTACTTTATTACCACTTATATTCAATTACATATATTGTTCCAAAGGAATGTTTGTTAGTCCATGACAGAAACCTACAGCTATGTTTTGATGGACTGTACACGTGTTCACTTATTTACATTTTAAATACAGAGTGCTTATATTTAGGACCAGCTACTCACTGTTTTAACTTTATCGTAATTTCTCTTTTCTTTGTTTGGTTTGTGATCTTACCTAACTTTGTTGTATTGTCACTGCTACAACTACATTTCTCAATCAATACTTGTTTGTATAATCTTATATAACAACACATATACAAATTGAAACATACATAGACAGTACATTTAATTATTATCCATTCCTTATGTTATAATCAACAATTATTTGTCATTTATTGCAGGCACTTGGCAAGGAAGTTTCTAAGGATATGGATGCAGAACACCTTTGGCCGAATTCTTCCTAATAAAGCCAAGTAACATTCATTTTGCAAACTAGCGTCATTAAAATAAGAAATAATTGTATTGTTTAACAATAGGAGCACAGTCTGTTTCCCACTTTATTTTCATTCTATTGCTATTTTCTTTCCAAACAGTTAGATTGTGCATTATTTTTAGTTTAAATTGTCATTTTAAATATCTATAATGTAACGTTTTGCCATTCCATAAGTTGTAAAAAGCTACTTTGCAACTAACCAGATTCTTATTTTGATATCGAATGTCCTTTCTGACTCGGAGTTCTCTAATCCAAGTAATATATATATATATATATATATATAATATAATATTCTTTATGACACGCTGCAGGTCCCACTGTGACAGCGTGGTTTTGCGACGGGCTTTTAAGGGATGGAGAGATGAGTGGTGGACCTCCAGGAGGGAGTGGAGTCTTTCAGTGCGGGCTGAGTGTCACTACAGGTACAGGTACACTCTGTCTGCTGATCACAGATATATAGATTGTAGTTTTGTCTTCTAATCATGCCATTTTTGTTGCAGGTATTATCTGTATAATCTGGCTTTCCATGGCTGGCGAAGGTTTTTGTCGCTGCAGAGGGAAAAGAAAAGCAAAGTCCAAAAAGCTCAATCTTTTGGTATGCACATAAAATGAAATGATTTCTAAAAGTAGGCCTCTCACGATAATTATGTTATTGGACTTATGGCAGCAGTATATGATCATGACCTCAATCTTTTGTTATATACACAGTCCTGCTGTGGGAACATTTTCGGTTTAAAAAAAATGGGAGTGATACCATACTGTATGTCTAACTAATATTTCACTTGAATGGAAGTTTATTGTTTGTTAAGGATTGAATGTTTCTCTATACCCAAATGGGCCAAATGTAAACTATGTATTTATCTGCAAATATTGTTAACAGAGAGTCCATTTAATAACTCCCTACAAAATCCCTAATACCATGCAGCAAAATTACTTATCATGACAGATTTATGTTTTGTAAGATATCAGAAGCAGCTGTTTATCATTATGATTTCCTTAACTAGCTGACCGGCAGCAGATGAGTCTGGTCTGGGAACAATGGAAGGTTTTCATAGAAACGAGACGACAGAAGAGAAGGATGCTTGAATCGGCCGTTGAGCGGCACAGACTCGCAAGCCTGCAGTAAGATCATTTGATTTACAAACCTGACTCAGACTTGTAATGCTTTGTGGATTATTGATTGTAGTGCTTTTGTGTGTCTTTCACCTCTTCAGTTCAGCGTGGAGCTTGTGGCAGGCTCTGCTGCGACGATATCAGGACCTTCACGCTTTAGAGGATCAAGCTCTGAAACAGAGGGCACTAACTTTACAGAGCAGGGTAAAGGCATAATCCAAGACACCCATGAATCACATACTCTCAACATTGTGATGAGGCTGGTCTCCTTCTTTTGTGTTTCATGTGGCAATGTGCCTTTTTTGTTATAGACTTGGCTTCAGTGGAAAGACATGCATAGAGCTGCTTGTTGCCAGAAAGAGAAAGAATCCAAAGCAGCACTTCACTTCATCCTCAGACTGAAAAGAAAAACACTAGCTCGTTGGAAGAGTGATGTGTTGCGTCTCCAAACCAAGAAAACATCAAAAGGTCTTTCTTCGTTTCACAATAACCACAAGCACATTCGATCTATATGCCTCATGTTCACATTTGTCTTTTTTAAACGTGATAAGTACATTTTCTTTTTGTGTTAGCTTTGGCTCAGCGTGCCTTTGATCTCCGCCTGATGATGACATGTTGGAGTGAATGGAGCAGTGCGTTGGATCGTAAACGGAATGAGGAGGAACGTTTGCAAACCGCAGAACACTTGGCCATACGGAGCACCCAGCAAAGAACATTGGAGCGCTGGAGAGCTTGTATCCTAGTCCAAACCTAAAATAAACATACCTTTCATTTTCATCCAGCTCCTGCATTATGAGTAGACTAGTATGTGTCTATGATTCTCAGTAAAGTAGTTTGATACTTGAGCCTGTCAGCAGATGTGTCGTTGCGTAGAGAAGAGGCTGAGAGACACAGGACTGCAAGTCAACATCATCATCATCAGCTACTGGTAAGAAAAAGAGTAGATTAAGCAACTGCATGTGAATAGAGCGTGCAATCATTCATTGTTTTGTTCATCGTGCGCTCTTTTTGCAGCGCGCTGGATTGCAGGGCCTTTCTGTTAACATAATCAGGAACAGAACACACCGTCTGAACAACAACATGGCGGTCCAACATTACCGTCAAACTGTAACTAATAAACAAACAATCATCCCTACAACAACAGTGTCAATGCCAAACATTAACTAACGTTTCCAAAGATGTAATGCTTCTGTTTTTCCTAGATGACATGTAGGTATTGGAATCTGTGGCGGGACCATCAGGAGGAGGCTGAAGACAAGAGTTTTCAACCACTAACAAAAATGGCGTTGACTAAATACAGGTGCTTACATTTACATATAAGTGGAACATGTATTAAATGTTTTGTAGTTCAAACAAGTTGCTTATTTGATGTAAAGACTTTTCCTGTTGCATGATTGGTGTATGCATTTGGACTTCTCTCTACAGCACGTCCCTGTTGAGCAGCTGTTTACAACACTGGAGAGAGAAAGTTGCCAAACAGCAACGCATGCAGGTACTGTTTTGGGATCCAATGACAGAATAGAGAAAACGAAACCTAATGTGAAAACGTATAAATCAGTTCAAACTGTAGGAAACAATAGGGGAGAATATGGGTTGTATCTGTGTGATGCTATCTCTTAAAACACAGTTTGATTGCCGACTCAAACGCACCATGCTTTCCTGCAGGTACTGGAGCACCGTGCAGACATTTGGTTTGCTGAACGCATGTTGCCTCACTGTTTCAACTCGTGGGTTGAGTTTACTCTGCAGAGAAGACTCCATAAACAGAGGAAACACAAGGCAGAAGTCTATAATCGGTGAGTTACCAACCCCATGACTTTTGGGCCGCTAATAACAAATATTTTAATTATTAAAAAATCCGATGATTATTTCTTGTTTTAGTCATTAGTTCTATAAAATGTAAAAAAGAGAGAAATATTTATATTCGTGTTTTATGAAAATCTTCATACGTTTTTGGTCCAAAACCAACAGGTATTCCGTTTAATATAAATAGGATTTTTAGCAAAAATAATTCTGTGGAGTGACTATCATTTAATCAGCTCGTCATTTCCAAACCAGCAACAGCTGAACTGTGTGTCGTCTCTTCCTGTGTTTTCAGGCAGCGTCAGTACTCGTTGGTGTTTTACACCTGGTGGGGGGAATCGGAGAAACACAAAGGGCAGATGCTTTCTGAGCGTTTGGTATGTCGGCTGTAAAGAGAAACACAAACTGCTGCATGTTGTTAACGAGGAGGGCTGCTCTGTATCCCATACTGACTGTGAACTTGCTGTTGTCAGGCTATCCTACACGAGGAGCGCTGCCTCCTGCAGAGAGCCTGGAGTCGCTGGAAGCTGCGGACAGAGCAGCAAATGGATGAAGAGCAGAAATGGAAAGCTTCAGAGCATCTCTACAGACACAGACTTCTTGACAAGACGATGAAACAGCTGAAGGACAACAGCACTGAGATGCAAGACAGGTGAAAGGATACAGAAGTTTGAGTAGAGTGGGGTAACCTGCCGATCTGTTGGCTAACACTTACTGCTGAACACGTTTGTTTGCATGTCAGGAGAAATCGTGAGCAGCAGGCTTATCGTCGGGGTGACATGCGCTGCTTGAGATGGGCTGTGGAAAATTGGAAAAAGGTAACTTTGGTTATTGTTCACATCTGTTCACACAATATCTGAGGCGTCTGTTGTTTTGGCTTCAAGGTGTAAAGAGGGACAAACCTGTTTAGGTCTGGAAACTTGTAGACTTGAAACCATTCTCCTTTTTGTTTGTCCAATGTCAAATTACCTACACATGCAGCTCATCTGAAAGCTCATTACTGGACTGTAACACAGCTCACATTGGTTTATAATCCAATTTTTGTATTTATTGAAATACAAATGGTGTGTATGTCCAACTATATCGAGATACTCAGTTAAACAGCTCAAAGAAAATAATGAAATAATCACATGTGTGTTCGGTCAGTATGTTCAGAGCCAGAGAGAGAAGAAAAGCAGACTGAAGCAGATGCAGCAAATCTATGAAGTTCAACTTTTGAGCCGCACGTTTGTGGCCTGGAAGGTACGTCAGCATTTGTTATCGCAGGATTTCTTAAGATGAGGAGTAATACATATAAGGCTGATGCTGCATTCACAGAAGCACCACCTGCAGATGTGTCAGACCTATCGACACGCAGAGGGACTTCACAGACAACAAAAACGGGACTTTCTCAGGTAACAAACACAAAATGTTGTTTATATTCTCTATGACTGCTCCCTCTTTGTCAATTAGTTGACTAATTGTATGGTCTTAGTCCCCGAAAATGCTTTCATGTTAAATTGTTTTTTTTTTGTACAGAAAATCAATTTGACATGTGCAAGTCGATTAAGAATTTCTTTGGAAACCCCCTGACATTCTCTTCCATCTGCATAGTGCTCCTGTTTACTTTTTCCTTCCATATGACCCGTGTCACCTTTCTCTTCTCTGTCTCTATGCTGTCTCTCCAGGACGGCCCTGTGTGTTTGGAGGGAGAACGCCGTGCTGCTGACAGAGGTCAGGCTCCAGGAGCAAGAAGCACAAAATCACTTCCAGCGTTTTCTTCTACTTAAGGTTGTTCAGCAGTCCATTTCCCTCATATCCCTAAATATCATAGTTTTACATTTGTGGGAGACTTTGCTCATCGCTGCCTCTTCACTAAATCTTCTAAGGTGTTTCTGGCGTGGAGGGAGGCAGCAGCATGTTCAGTGTCCAAGCGCCACCAGCAGGGGGAAGCAGTCAACAAGGCTCAGAGGTCCATCAATCAAGGTAACATCAAAACTCCATATGCTGTTTGTTTCAGGTCATTTTTAACATTTGTTTTCTGTTTGCAGATCATGTTTTTATGTTAATGTCCCTTCAGTTCCCTGAATGTTACTGTTTAATAAGATTATTGGTCGTAAATGTATATTTCTTACAGCTTGACAGTTGGAAAGTGTTAGTTTTAAGCGATTTGATTTGCTCTTACTTTTTTGGCCGAAAGCTGAAAAATAATACACAACACAAGGTTACATTTAAGAGAGACTCTCACACAAGAAAACTCAAATCATAAAGACCCCTAAAACAGTGTATTACAAATGAAACTTGAAGGTTTAAAAATGTAATACAAAATGTCTTTATTTTCTCTAAATAATTCAATTCTTTATTCATTTCTTTCTTGTATCCAAAAACCAAATGCCAGTCAAAGTCATCAACTTGTGTCCATTGTAGCACTGCTGTCATAGCATTACACCTCAGATTTGACCTTAAGATATTGTGTCAAAAATACAGTTAAGATTAGTCACGTGTTGCTAAATTGTTCTAGACTGTTAGCTTGATGTTTTCTGTGTTTAGTGCGGCTGCTGCGGTCTTTCAGACACTGGAGGACGCAGACCAGGGAGGCTCGGAGAGAGAGGGTATGCATGGAAAGAGCCAGGAGGTACCATGAATCCAAACTCCTTTCTAAAGCACTGAAAGCCTGGAATGAGCATCACAATCAACATCATAAAAATAAGGTTGTTACTTTATTATCCCTCAACTGTTATATAAAGCCAATCTGTTTTGTCGTGCTTTTAAAAAAATGTGATTACCTCATAGGTAATGAGAAGACAGGGAATCTTCCTGCTGAGATTGAAGATGTATCAGACGTACTTTGAGCAGTGGAGAATAAAGGTTTGTCTCTTTTTAACACCTAAACATTTCAGCCTCTTTATGGCTGCTACACATGGAGATAAAACTAATGTACAATATATGTACTTTGATTTATTTCAGTTTAAACCGGCCATGAATCTGCTTTCCTTTCCCCACTAAACAGCTGCAGCACAGACGGAGAGAGGCGAAGCAGACGGAGCGAGCGCTCTGGCACTGGTCCCTTTCTCTTCAGGCCAAGGTAACACTTGCCTATGCAACCTTTTCTACCTTTGAACAGTAAACCTTTGGTCCTCAGGGTCTTGATGTTGTTTTGTGAACTTGCTATAGGTGTTGTACGGGTGGAGGCAGACGGTGACAGAGCAGCGCAGAAAACAAGAGCAGGCGGTCAGAGCTGCAGAGGTGTACAGAGACCAGCTGCTGAGGGAGGGCGTGACGTGTATCCTCACTTACGCTGCTCACATGAACAACCTCACAACGAGCCTAACACAGCACAGCCAAGAGCAGGTGGGTGTTCATTTTGTGTTAGTTCAGATATTACATTGAGTATCATTACAAATATCTTGTTTTTTTATTACTGCACATATTTTATTCCATTTCAATGTAAATATGAACTATAATGTTATTATAGTTTTCTTAAAGGTCACCTATTATGCAAAATCCACTTTTCCAGGTCTTATATACATCAACATGTGTCCCCTCTGTGTAAAGAGATTCTGAACGTTTCAGGAAAAAAGATTCTCTCTCTTTTTGTCCTGATCCATTTATATAAAAACTTGATTTTGGCCACTTTATGCCATAACGATGTTTGGCTTGTGTAACCATTAGCCAATAACCGACCAAGGTAACCCCCCCCCCCACACCACCTTATCACCTGAATCTCCTCCTAGAGCACCATTGAGTTCTTTTTAACCAAATATCTCTCAGTGGGGAGTGGCTCCTTATTTTCATCTAAAGTAGCAGACAGAGAATCAGCACTTTTGAAACAGAGGGGATTGTGGGATGCTGCAATGATCTGTTTGGTGTTTGGAGCCAAACACTTCAGAGACATGTTTTGTATATATCTGAGACCTATAATATATTGATGAAAAACAGTATAACAGGGGACCTTTAAAATAGTTTTCTATCTTTGTTTTTAATTGTTGTTTTACTTTTATGTGTGCACCACGACAACTAGTCAAATTCCTCGTACGTGTCAACCTACCTGGTAATAAACCTGTTTCTGATTCTGATCATCATGTCTGCCTGCGTCCTGCAGCGGTCCCGCCACCTCCAGAGAGTAGTGAGGCGTTGTGCGATGCGTTGGAAGCAGCGGGCGCTGTGTACACCCCGAAGAGAGCAAGAGGTCAAAGATCAACCACCGAAGAAGAGTGTTAGCTTCTGTTTGACTACATCTGGGCGGAAGAGGGTTTCCCAGTCTGACTCAGAGGGGCAGGAAGCTGAAGATGGAGGGCGTAGCAAGCTGTGAGTCTGACTCCCTCTCAGGCCGGGGATCTGTGTTCCTCAGTGAGCCTCGGTCTGACAGATTGTTTCTTTATGTTTGCACTCAGCCGCGGGCATCGACGTCAGCCACGACGCTGCAAGGAACTGTTTGAGTCTACAATAACAATAAAGTACATTTTCAATATAATCAATACACCATTCATTTTTTTTTTAACTAAGCATGTATTTCAAATGAGAAATAAGCTTTAAAAAAAAAATTCCTCCTCCCTCAGCAGGAAGCCCTCACAGAAGCTGTTTGTCTTGTTGTCCTAGCACCCAGAAGCAGACGGCCGTCACCAAAGCTCCAAAGCCCTCACTTCTCAGCCTTCCTGCACCAGAAGGCCATCAAACTGCGTTGTCTTGCCTCCATCCTCCTACCGTCTCTTTTCCTTCCACACATCAGAGCACCATCATATCTAATGTGTCACCCTGTGAACACCGAACCCAAAATAAAGACGTTCTTCTACCCCCCTCTGCCTTCATGACTACCGGGGCCAAAGAAACGGTAATAATCTCCTGTTCCATTTCACCAGATATCAGCAATGTGATAAAAGCTACATTTAATAACTTGACTTGGGCTTCTTTTTTTTCAAAAGTTGGGGAAGACTAACTGCTCAGGTTTTGGAGATGCTTCCCTTCATCAGTTTGTTCCTCCGTTTGAACACTCGTCAGCTCATTCAGGTAGGTTACCTGCACTTTTCTTCACCTGCATGTGTTATTGTACAAATTGACTTTAAAACACGATGCCTGTCCAGCTTGGATTACTCAGAACAAATGACAAGATATTTATTTGTTTTGCTTTATCAAGACGTATCATCCGGTGGAGGATCTTTAGAAGACGCAGCAACAGATTCAGCTTCCGCTCTCACTGAAGAGCTGCTCGGCATCCAGCTGGACATGATGACATACCAACGGGACAGGAAACAGCTCCGGTACAAATTCTGTGGTATCCATTTGTTCTCCCGTCCTTGAACACAGCCCTCCGTTATATAATTTGATTGTGTGTTTGAACTCAGGGCATGGCAGAAACTGAAAGAGGTATTGCAGAGTTGGGTGCAGACCAGTGGAGCGGGTGAGCAAATGGAAAGAAATGCAGTTTGTGAAGAGTTGAAGGAGGTAAGAAGTAGAGAATTCTGTCATTGTATTTATATTAAATCAAAACGTAACGTTTCAGCACTCACATGGTAAACTGGTAAGTTAGTATTAACACTTGAGTGAAGATACTGTATTGATGATTGATGTACTGATTTAGGTGCAACAACTTGAATCTCCAGAAAGAGAACATCAATAAAGTGTGTCTTCATTTTGTTCAAACGTTTATTTTTTACTACATTATTATCTCATCAGGTTATTACGGTTCTCTAAGCATGATTTATAACATGTTTATGTAAAGTGTTAGACCACTTATAACTACAACCAACTGAGTAACAAATAGCTAACAGTAGATTAGAGAAATACATGTTGTGTCCAAACAAAGGAGATGAGCCTCAATGGATTGTAGTAATTGTAATAGTACATGTTTCTTATATTAAGGAAAGAGACAGGGCTCGGTCCTGATCTTTAAAAAAAAGTTATTTAAAGGTAACTTAGGTGGCTTAGATTTGGCATGCATTCTTTGGAGGTCTCGTTTAAATGATAAGTGATGGGCTGTGAACAATTCTGCAAACAGAGGTCACATGAGGGGAAGCAGTATACAACTCAAAGTAATTTGACATGTATCACAGTCGATGTTTTTGATGTTAACAGTTGGAGGAACGCATTGACAGGCTGTCCGCTGAACTGGCAAAGCGTAAACCCTCGATGCGGCTGCATGCGGAGAGGATCCGCCATTTACAGACCGTCCTCCAGGACTCAGGAGTTTCTTTCCTCCGTCGGAGAGCAGACGAGATGGAAACAGATCCCTCTGTGTTGAAGAAATAGAGCCTCACACTCAAAACGGATTAAACCTGCTGATTGTCTGGACTGTCGGTCATCTGCCATCTCTTAAAACAACACTAAGACTCACCTCAGAATTGAATGAGAGAACAGCTCACCGGCCGATACATATTTTGGACCCAACTTGTCCTCAGCTTTGAGGAAAAGACTGATATCCTTAAATACACATATTAATTTGTATTCCTGTTGACTATCGTGTAAATGGTTGTAAAATTGACAGAGCAAATCCTAAAGCACTAAAGCAAAGTTCCTTACAGCAGCTTTCACAGCTACTTCCACACCTGAAATCTGCGAAAACACTGGATAGGGGTCGTCCTTGAGACAGATGGTGATCATTATTTTCCATGTGTGTGCAAATAGTCACTTTACAGTTTTCAGAGAGGCTGCCCTTGCACAAGAGTCTTTCTATTTATCCGTTAGAACCAGCGGCTGTAATACTTCAGGAGTTTCAGGGATTCAGACTCAAAGGAAGGACAGCTGTCTGTTGAGCTCTGCAGGCTATATTCAATAAATGTGTCCAAATATTTGATCAACATCAGATCAGAATGCGTGGAGTTTATGCCATTTTCCTCTTTTTCCTCTTAGTCAACTGCATCAGGGGTGAGTTATGTTTCTGAATTACTTTATTTATGTCCATTGTTAAGTTATTTCTTGTTCATATTCTGACTGTTTGTGTTGTTGAGTGTTTTATCCTTTTTAGTTGTGGTTGGAAAGATTGCTGCTGTCTTTCTGGAGCTTTTTGTGGACATTATTAAAACTGAAACAAAGAATTGAAGTGTGTTGTAAAATCCTTTCAAAGTTTAACAACATGCAAAGTTGGTTTTAGATGTTCTTAATTGTTAAGAGTGAATAGAAATTCATTAAATCATTGACTAAGATGTTCACAAATGAAATTCAATAGAAAATATTCCTTCCTCATCTGATCTTCTGAATGATGTCTTCCGTGTTAGCTAAGAAGATGCGGTGGTGCACAGTGTCAGATCCTGAGCAGAAGAAGTGTGCAGAGCTGGCTAAAGCTCTGGTGGCCGTGCTGCCGCCGGCCGCTGTGGCAGCTTTCGCCAGACTCTCCTGCATCCGAGCGTCCAGCACGACCGACTGCATCGATCGGATCAGGGCGAGCAACCTTTACCTTAAATGCAGTGTCATGACTTTAGCTCTGGTTTATAAGCTGTAAAACAAACAAAAACAACTGACTAGCAGAATGCACTCACATGAGCTCATGTCAATGTGTAAAATGCAGCTTATATTCATAAAATAAATAATACAAATTGCTTAACAAATGCATAAAAAAGAGACTTTCATCGATTGAATAGACCACGAATGATTGTTTGGATGAGGCACAGTGAAAAAACTTTTTTATTTCTTTTACAATAATCAGTGTTTTGAGGTTAACACTGCCTGGTTTACGTTTAGGTTAGAAGTTTTTTGCTTGATCAAAAATAATCAAACGTAATAAATACATTACTTTGATGAGGAAATTCAAAATAAATAAAATTCCTCAACACATATTTGACAGAGTACCAGGTCATCTGTAACCCATTACATTTGAAAAGTAACTTTCCCAACACTGGCTACCACCTGTTCATAAAGACTCATATTTACTGCAGGCGAACCGTGCTGATATCGTGACGTTGGATGCAGGAGAAGTGTATTCTGCTGTGAAGCAGTTTGGCCTTGGAACCATCGCCAAGGAGATATACAGCGACGGTAGGTTTCCCTTCAGCTTTCTGAGAGACTTCAGAGTGTCAGAGTGTCAGTGAGCTGTGTGTGTCTGCAGGAGGCTGTGTTCTGTCTGTAGCTGTGGTGAGGAACATCAGTCTGGACGTCCGGTCCCTGAAGGGCCTCAGGAGCTGCCACAGCGGGGTCCGGTGGACGGCCGGCTGGAGTCTCCCCCTCGGCTTCCTGCTCTCCAGAAACTATCTGAGCTGGTCCAAGGAGCAGCCGCTCAGTCAGGGTAACCACATTATTATCAGCTCCCAGAGAAAAACCGAGCCGTGTGGAGAGGTGTTTCATAATGTTTCATATTTTGGCGTTTATGGTCTAATGGTTTTAAGGTGCCTGATTTGTTTTTCCCCTCTCGAGCAGACGTCAGTACTTTTTTTAGTGCCAGCTGTGTTCCCGGAGCTGCTGCCATTGCCCCCCCTCTGTGCGCTCTGTGCCAAGGCCAGAAGTCATATATTCGCCAGAAGAATTACCACTGCGAAACATCCCATAATGAGCCTTTCTACAACAACCAGGGGGCCCTCAGGTCGAACTCAACAACTTCACTTTAAACCTATTCTACAATATGTACACGGTCTGAACAGCATAGACATTCATTTCTCCTATTACATCTTTCGCCCTGTCACAGATGTCTCAGGAGGGGGGCCGGGGACGTTGCATTTGTGGATCATTTAGCTCTTGAAAGTATTGAAGGTAAGCTTTCTTGTAGGGCTGCTCGATTATGGCAAACATCATAATCTCGATTATTTGGGTCAATAATTGCAATTGCGATTATTCATTGACTTTGAAAACATCCATTTATTGGAGAAAGAAATGTCGAACAGTGTGTTTTTAACAGTTGATTACCCTGAACTTTAAGTATACAAAAAATATCGAGTGAAGCAGAACTTTTTGTTATATATTTGGATTTTTTTAAATAATGACATCTATCTTTTGGAAATGTGCATTGTGCAACATTTAGTAGAATATATATCCCTAATTGTAACATCAGCTCCCTCCTAATATTCAGTTTGTTCTCTCAGACAGTGATAGAGATGAGTTCAGGCTGCTGTGTGCAGACGGCTCACAGGCTCCTCTCAGCCACTACAGGATCTGTAACCTGGGCCGGGGTCCAGGAGGCGGCATGGTCACCAGATTAAATTTGCGCAAGACTGCTCGCAAATTCCTATCGACGGTGCAGGTAGCTTTATATTCATTTGTTCAATCATTTCCCACATTTGTCTGCACACATCACTCTTTTTGTTTCAAATTCACGTGCCCATAGTGCCTGAATATAAGATTCGTAAGGCATTCTTTATTGTTGTTTAGATGCTGTTTGGTAAACGAGGAAAAGAGAGGCAGCGTTTCCAACTCTTCAACTCCTCTTCTTTTGGAGAAAACGACCTTCTCTTCAAAGACGCCACGGAGAAACTGGCCGTTCTGCCAGACGACATGGACGTCAGCCAGCTGCTGGGGCTGGATTATGTGGCGCTGCTCAAAGGTCTTGGACATGAAGGTGCTTACGCCCACATTGTTCTGTTGTATATTCAAAACAGACCTCATTACGCGGGACCTCTTACAGCGTGATTGTGTGCAGGAAGCTCCCTGGAGGACAGTGTCGTGCGATGGTGCTGTATTAGCCATGCAGAGCAGAAGAAATGTGAGCAGTGGGCTCTCAATATAAAGTCGGACCCTCTGGTGTGTGTCAGAGCGGTCTCAATGCGTGACTGTATCGAGAAAATCAAGGTAAGTCATTCAAGAAGTATAATTACAGACTGTTAGTAATATTAAAGTTCCATCACTCTTAAAGACAACAAGTCGTCCCTCTGTGTCTCCCACAGAGGGACGAGGTGGACGCCGTCTCGCTGGATGCTACTCACTCTTTCATCGCAGGAAAATGTGGTCTTGTTCCTGTAGTTACAGAATATTATGGTAAGACTGTGAGCATTCTCCAAACATATTTAAGGCTTTTCAAGTAGGAGATCTAAGAGATATGAGAAAGCACAACAACATTTACACAACAATTATATATACAAATAAAACCCACAAAATGGATATGAATAAATGAAAAGCAATCAAAATAAGTTGTCTGGGAGTATAACAATATTGTAACAAAAATATATTTAGTTAGGCATCATTTAGTGTGTGGAGTGCTCCATACAAATATATTTTGCAGTTTTATTTAAATGCATTCTCTTTTAATTTCAAAAGGTATCTCAACTTGTCCCTTACGAAAACTCTTCTCTTGCATTGTTGTTGAGATAATTAATCATTCAGATCCAAAATAAGGATATGATACGGTATTCACTTTTTTATTCTCTACAATTCTCTGACATTTTATAAATAAATTGATTAAATAATTTAAAATATAATGCATTTGTTGCAGTACTAGTCTTCATTAATTAAAAATAAACATTGATCAGTTTCCTCTGTGTTCTCTTGGACTCTCAGGAGGAGAAAGGTGTGGGCCTGCTGAGGGATCGACCCACTTGGAGACGGACGGTACCACAGCACATTTTACAAACTGCATGAAATAATCTTTGTATCTGATGTGAGTGTTGTCTTTAAAACCTCCCCCCTCTCCCCCCTCAGTGTTGCCCTCAGTGGTTGCCGTGGCCGTGGCGAGGCGCTCGAGCAGAAGTGTTTTCATGGGGAACCTGGGGGGTCGGCGCTCCTGTCACGGACACATGTACAGCCCGGCCGGCTGGCTGCTGCCCTACAGACACCCGCTGAGCCTGGCGCACAACAGCAGCGCCCCCTGTGGCCCCGACCGAGGTACTGCTCACATATATACTTTTTTTTGCTACCCTTAATCGTCCCACAGAGGGGAAATATACAATTGACCGGTTCCTAGTGTTAGGAGCAGTGCAGGACAGACAACAACGGGAAGCAGGGCTGCACAGACTGTATGTGGTTTGTCTTGTGTGTCATGTTTGGCATTTTGTCTTTTCGTTTATGTATGTCTGTCTGTAAGTTGTTGCTATTGTCGGGACCCCCTTGAAAACGAGATGGTGCATCTCAAGGGGTTTATCCCAATGAATAAAAATGTCTATATATATATATACTTTACTAAACCAGAACTAATGCTGAGCCCAATGTCTCCTTTTCTTTCGTACTTTCAAAGCTTTTGCTGAGGTTTTAGAATAACGTTTTGAATGTCTATGTTTGTATGAATAAATTGATTAACTGAATTAAATTAGTCAATCTTTTTTAATTAAATCAACTTTCTTTTTATCGAGAGATATATTAATTTCAGGACAGGTACAAAAAAAACAGTGTCACATATAAGTAAAAGAGCAGACACAAGCCGGTATGACAAAACAAAAGTAGCTTTCTTTAATGGATAAATGCATGCTTTCCTTTATGTGCAGCAAGGGCAAGGGCAGGCCGACAACAAATATCGAGTGAAGCAGAACTTTTTGTTATATATTTGGATTTTTTAAAATAATGATATCTATCTTTTGGAAATGTGCATTGTGCACTTATTGCACCGTTTTAACAGATTCTGAGAGTCCACTTTATTCATTGTTTTGTCTGTGTGGTTTTATTTAGGATTTTTTTAACGTTACGATATCTAAATATTTTTAAGATTAAAAACTCCATTGCTTTTTATAAAGAGTTAACTTGCAATAATATGCCATTATTGTATCATTATATCAGTGAAATATAATGGTACTTAAATAAAACAAGATAGTTATCCAATTGGACAATATATCAGCCAACAAAGTGGTTGTTCTGACAGGCCTCAGCTGCTGTGTCATGCTTCGTGTTTCCTCAGTGTACAACGACGTGTTTTGGAAAGGCTGCCTCCCGGGCTCTCAGGGGAATCTGTGTAAAGTGTGTCTGGGAGGCACGGGGGAGGCCACCACCAAACGCTGCGCTGACAACCACAATGAGCGTTACTATGGCAACACTGGGGCATTAAGGTAAGTGGAGTCTCTCCCCTGAACTAGTTTCTGTTCATCTGGGTTTGCTGAAGTGGAAAGCTTATATTTTCCCTTCTTTTTTGAGCAACTCAATATATGGAATACTTACGAGTGAGGAATCGTCTGCAGGTGGCAGCCAGATGCTGAACTCAGCCTGTAGTCAGAGGTTAAGTACAAGAAAATGGGAACATTAAGATCGTTTTGGTTTATTCAACCTGGTTGTAAGACATTTTTGTTGATATATGACACCCGCCTAGTAGAATTGATATAAAGGGAATTTGGTTGGTGCTCAGAGCCTTTATTAAATGGCATGTAAACTCAAAATACCAGCTTTTTTTTTTGGCAACATTGGGGAACCTGTAAACACAGGACTTGACATTTTTTCACTTCCTTTGTATACAGTATACTGTATAAATAGTAGGCAAAGAATCAGCCTATGAGAGTAACTTCAACATGTATTCAATGAAGGAATGTTGACGTTCATTCATTCAATAGTCCTATGATGCCATAGGACTATTTTTTTCATATAAAGTAGTTTCAATATGAATTGTCCAGCCTCCACCTCCATTGTATTGTAACATTTTTAATCTTTAATCTTGACTTGTTATTAAAGGTGTCTGGTTGGAGATCCCAGTGGGAAAAGCTATGGCGACGTGGCCTTCCTCGAGCAACACACCCTTCTTGACAACATCCTCAGTGAGATATATAAGATAAAGTTTTGACACACACACACACACACACACACACACACACACACACACACACACACACACACACATGCAGACATGAACTCTATGTTTAGTATTCTTCATTATATTGTTCGTCATGTTGTTCTTCAGGTTTGAACTCCAGCGGTTGGGCAGAGGGCTGGACGCTGTCAGACTACGAGCTGCTGTGTGGGGACGGTCGTCGGGCCCCGCTGGCAGAGTGGGAGAGCTGCAACCTGGGAGTCATCCCCCCGAACAGCGTCATGACGCGGCCGGTGCTCACAGCACGAGTGTACGACTTCCTCATGAAGTCACAGGTCAGCTTCTGTGAACACTGTTTTAAATCAGGTTTTACGTTTACACAATGAAGACATGGGACTTTGCATGAAGACGTATGTTTCAAGTTGTCTCGCATTATTGCTCAGCAGCACCCCCAACATTCAAAGGGACAGTTTGGATAGTTTGAAGTGGAAATGGAATAAATACTCATTCATAGTCAGGGTAAAATCTAAAGTAAATGGCATTTTGGAGAAGAAGAGCGAAGTTACTGCATGGGGGCAAAGCAATGTACTATTATGTATAGGGGTGTCCGAAAATGTATTTTAGACACTGAAAAAATTTCCTTATTTTGAAATATCCAAGTTACTGACACATAAATATAGAGGATTAAAACTTATTAAATGGTATTACTTGAGTATAGGACAAGTATCGAAAATTATATTTAAGTATATTTGCTTACTTTTATATTTACTTTCCAACGCTGTTGAAAAAAAATAAAAATAGTTCAGGTCCAATAGCATCTCTAGTCAGGATTAAAATGCATTTGCTTCAGATGAAAAATTAAGGAGATTAAGGAGAAATTTAAATAATAATCTTTGGCATTGCAGAAAGGAAAAAGTGTTTAGGTGCATATTTACTTTTTTTGTATCCTTATAGGAAACTTTATCCGCCAACCCAAACGCAGAGTTCAAGCTCTTTCAGTCTCAGGAATATGGAGAAAGTGATCTGCTTTTCAAAGACGCTACTCAGTGTTTCGTCCACACGAGCCACATGGACCCCCGCTCCATCCTAGGAGAGGAGTTTTACAGTCAGGCGGAAGCGGCTTTCAACTGCACACACTCTGGTACTACTCTGATGAATCACCAGATTATGTTAAACCTCATTCCTGTTGATAATGCTAATGTGTTCACATTCATTTCCCTTTCAACAGATATCTTGGAGTTTTGTAATCAGGATGTGTGCAGCATATTCTAAAGGACACATTTCTCTCTGCTGCTCAGTGGATCAATACTTCATCCAGAATCTCAACTACAAACCATCCCTGGTTGACAGCAGACATGAATTTCAAAACACTGTTGCCTGACTGAACTGATGAATTTCAGCGTTTAGATGCCATTTCAACATCAAATGTTCAGAATCATCTGTGTCTTTCAAAAACACAAAACACTTTTAAGGCCTGAAAATAATCAAAATCAAAATATGGTTTAAGTAGGATATACAGAAAAGTAGAGAACACAAATATAGAATCGAAATGTACCTTAACAAAATGTGAAAAATATATTATAAACATAAAGGTGTGTACTCCTGCTGTTGTAACACGTGGTTCCCACACATCTAATCATTAACACAGCATCTTGCTATCATAAAGGCTCAAACAACGAAGTTAAGATAATATGATAGAACAGTGTGTGTAGAATATAAAAACAGCTGAAACATCTAAGACTACTGCAATATATATATATAGAAATGTATACATCATTTTGCACAAATTAGTTAACACAATCTATGTTTTGTACCAACATGTAATGCAGTGTATGTAATGTAGTTAAGGTGGTGCAAGGTTATTCAGTCATCTTTTGTCCCATAGTATCTGTGTCTGCTGTTAAGGTAAAACTTTTATAAATAATGTAAAGGTATTGATTCCTTTGTGCCAGAGTATGTCAACAAAAAAAAAACATAAATAAATGAATCTACTTTTATTATGCTTACAATGTGGGTTTCTTATACTGTAATAATGTGTTACCTAAAAACAAATACAATGTGAAACCACTGTGGTCAAAGTGGTGGAGTTGTATTGAAATAGCAATAATGTACTATATCCCGACAAAGTCCACAAGAACTGAACATTAACAACTTACTAAAGGTATAATTCAAGCCAGAGCTGATGTATCGATGAGAATTGCAGGTATACCTTATATGTTTTTTTTTTAAAAGTCAAAATAAATGAGTTTATTTTAAGCAAATAAAGCTGAAAACCATCCTGATATTTCAGTTGTTGGCTACTACTCCCAGACTGCAGCGCGTGTGTGTTTGGTGTTACGTAAAACATGGTGTTTCCTGTTTCCTCTGACAAAGGTTCCCATCTTATATCAGTCTGTTATTTAACCCACGCCGTTGAGCTGCCGACTGTTTGTTGTTGTTCCAGTTATTAACAACACCGTTAAACTGTGGCCACCACCGTAACTCCCGGTAGACAAGGTAATATTATAATAGAAAAACAATATTTCATAGTGACTGTTACTTAAACCGGCTAATGCTAATTTACCGGTGACACAGTGCACTATTCGTTATTGACCCTCATAAGAAGTGTTTGTTTGCTGTGTAGCTTCTTAGCTGTCAGACTGTTATTTACTTGTAGTGTAACCTTTTTTTTTATATTGTTAATCATAGGCTGTCTTCTTGTATCATATTAAGATCCATTCATGTTATTACTTTCATATTTTCATTTCGGTAGATTTTGTGTTGTCATTATAGTTATTTATTTTTTGATTACATTAATTATAAATTGTGTGGTTAGTAAAATGTTTTTAAAAAATGAAAAATATCCTTTCAATTTTCTCAATGTCCAAGGTGATGTCTCTAAATGTCTTAGTTTTCCATGTGTGCTCTGGCAACACCTATAGCAGAGGAAAATGGAGCAGGAGGTGTACAGAACATGTTTGTTTTGATTTCTAATCATCTGTTTGCCTGTCCAGATGAGATTGCCACTGCAGATCCTCACATTGCACGCTGTGAGGAGGGCCTCCTCGGTCCCTGCAGGGATGGTGAGCTTTGTCCCGGCCTGCAGCACGGCTGACGCCCACTCCCTGGAGCTGCTGCAGGACTTTGTGTCCCGAGCCAGACGCCTGTTTGTCATCACCGGAGCAGGACTGTCCACCGAGTCGGGGATCCCTGATTACCGCTCAGAGGGTGTGGGCCTGTATGCTCGGACCGACAGAAGACCCATGCAGTATTCAGAGTTTGTCCGCAGTGCAAAGGCCCGCCAACGCTACTGGGCCAGAAACTTTGTCGGGTGGCCGCAGTTCTCTTCACATCTCCCAAATTCTGCACATAGGGCCCTGCAGCGGTGGGAGGAGAGGGGGAAGCTGCACTGGCTGGTGACACAGAATGTGGATTCTCTTCATTCTAAGGCCGGACAAAAAAGACTGACTGAGCTTCATGGCTGTGATCACAGGTGAGGAAACACCTGACACATTAATCGTCAACCTGCTCTGAGAGTTACGGAAGAGTATTAGGGTCAGGCATAAGTGGAACAATTAGGGGAGGAAGATTAGTTTCTTATTTTTGAGGATAGGTAGAAATGTTGAGAATAAACGTGGAACTACTAGGTTGAATTCATAAGACTTAACCCTCCAAATTCTATATCAAAACAACAACATCATTATTTCCCCTTACTATGTGCCGGGCCCTTAAAGTCTTCCATACATTATAATCAAGGTTGTGGTCTTCCTATTTGCTCCAGGAAAGTGGAAAAGGAATAATTGTAACTTTAAGGTACAATATAAATCTAAGGGTTTTGTTTAAACAAAAACATAGTGCTAAACTGTCAGTAACTGGGATGGATGTTTTTGTTACCATTGTTTGACCTTTTGTGTTGATATTCTTCCTCCAAAGGGTGATGTGTCTTGGCTGTGGGGCAGTCTCAGAGAGGGAGGAGTTGCAGGCGAAATTCATTGCACTAAACCCAGAATGGAGGGCGCAGACGAGCGGCGTGGCTCCGGACGGGGATGTGTTCATCGAGGACGAGCAGGTCCTCCATTTCAGAGTCCCCTCCTGTGAGGCATGTGGAGGGATACTGAAGCCCGAGGTCACCTTTTTTGGAGACAATGTGAACAAAGCAACAGTACAGTTTGTGCGCGACCGGCTGGCAGAGTCAGATGCGCTGCTCGTCGCAGGGTCATCGTTACAGGTAGGATTTTAGAACATTTAAAAATAAACTTGGTTGAAATATCACCAGTTTACAACACAATTCTTCTGGACTTTTTTTATTTAATTGTGACCCTCTCTGTTATGTTTAAGGTATATTCAGGATACAGGTTTTTACTGGCAGCGGGTGATCGGAAGATGTCGGTCGCCATCTTGAACATCGGGCCTACGAGGGCAGATCACCTGGCTGAACTGAAAGTGAGCGGCCGCTGCGGTGAAGTGCTGTCAGCTATTCATTCTGTCTGACTGTCATGGACATGCAGTTTGGATATTCTACGTTAAAATGGAAATGGACTACTTTTCAACCCCCCTGTAACCACATTGTCTGTTGCTAATTTCAGCTGGTCAGAACTACCTCAGACTTAAACATGTCAACAACATAATTCACTTCATAAACGGTTTTGAATTTTTTTTGTGTAATGTCAAAGGAGAAAGAGGCATTTCCACTTCTCCTCCAAAGGAAATTGCTGCTATTATCAGTACATCAGTAGAGTAAAACCTGAAACTTCTAATCACCTATTTTATGCAGTTTACAAGTAAAAGGAAAGTTGTCTTTAAGATTCGATTTCTCTGCACACATCAGATTGGTATCACACGATCAATGTCTCAACCAAGATAAACAGAAAGTCTGTAGTGAGGATTGCTGCTGTGGGTTTTGGCATAATACAAAATGTGCAGTAGATCACAAAGTATGTGTCGTGACATCTGGAAGTCCAGGCTCTGTTGTACCCTAATGCTGTTTTGATTTAAATTAAATAATCTAAACGTAACAATTTAAATATGCTTTCTGGTTTGCATTAAACCCAACCACAAGGTTATTCGACAATGTTTTTGGAAACATATTTAAAATATACATAATGTACTGCAATCAGCTGATTTTAAAAGGTGTAATCTGTGCTATCCTGGAATGATTTATACTCTTTTTATATAATGGTGCTAACATTGACATTTTAAACTAACAATCAATAGAATTGACCTTTTATCAATTTGTTTAATAATGCAAGGCTTATGTTTCAACTGATGCAAATGTAACGTGTTATGTAACTACAAAAATAGACAATGTTCCTTTTAAATAAAGCATTGTATCTTAAATTCACACATTGAAAGAGATTGAAATGTAGTTTCAACTGTTACTTCAGTCAAAATGAACTGTCAGTAATGTGGTGTGGCAAAAATGCTCAAATAAATATCGGAATGCTCCTAAAAACTGTATAAAAGGGGCAAAGATTTTAAAATACATATATTTGACTCAAACGGCGCTGTTCTTCACACTTTGCTGTTGTGACGATACCTGGCAGAAAAGTCAGGCCACTAACCAACAATCCAATGTTCAATATATCGAGCCTATTCTTTGTAATTATTCTCAAAAAGTTAAAATTGCCATGACTTTCTTCTGCTTTCTTTCTCAAACACTTATCTTTGGGACACCAGAAATATGTCTATGTATTCGTGTGGCACAAGGTATCCTGTATGTTTCTAACACTGGGATACTTTCATATTGAAAAAAAGTATCGTTATAGAGTGGTGCAGTGACACGTCCTAAAACCCGGATTATAAAAAATTATAAAAGTAGGGTAGACATGTGGAGATTATCCGACGGAATTTATTATTTTATTTATTATTTTGAGCTATTTTCCAAAATCGTATGGAGAAATGACATTGCTTTTTTGTCGAGCGAACCGGAAGAAGCTTATTTCCGGGTTTTAGGATGCGTCACTGCACCACTCTATAGAGTAGACCAATTGTTTTTATTAATAGCACCCCTCAAAAATCTTGCAAATGTGTCCCCCTAAATGTTTCGATTTTCCCACACAGAATGTAGGCTGTGTTTGTGTACCGTCTTGACCAGTGGTATTGGTTAACCCAAGTTTGAATAACACCGACGTTAAGAACTAGTCTGCTATTTTGATAGTTTAATGCAGTGATAAAGTAAAAACCCACATCATTTTTTAACTGTTTATTTTGAAGACAAACATCATGGTAGCATCACAAACAGACAGAGGGCAGAGTGACTGTAGATTGACGAACTGTAAGATCCTTAAAGACATTTTGCTGCTGAAATCTTTCTTGTAAAGACAGCTTCCAGTTTTCCAGGCTGGACTGCACCGCTTGGAGCAGAGCAGCCGGGACGCTGAAGGAGTAAAGACAACATCTGTGCCCGGAGGAGTCGCCCTGCCATGTTGCTGACGCTGCAGTCACCATCAGGGGAGTCAGAGACAGGCAGTTCTCAAAGCTCTTCGTCTGATCAAACCAGTAAGTGACGGGGAAACCCAATAAAATACCAAACACTGTGCACAGGTTCCACTCCTCTGACTTCTCTCCAACAGAACACGGTTTCTCAGCTTCCTTCAGTTGTTCTAACCTCTTTAGGAGGAGCAGTACATCGTGTGTCAGGCTCCTCAGCTCTCCTCTGAGCGGGTCAGCGATGGTGGGCTTCTCCAGGGAGTGGCAGACGTCGATAACAGCCACGTTTTGATCATGAATAATCTGTTCTACTTTCGCCCTGACAGTAAGAGGGTTAACAATGAGAGTGTTTCCATTTAAATCCAGTGTGAGAAGTGATTTAGAAACAAGCTGGGAACACTGCAAAGAGCTCAAATACTGCTGCAGCTGATCTGCACCGGCGCCGTTGCTGTCATACAACAAAGCGGGCTTTAATCCCAGATCAACAGCCAAGACCTGAGCCGCCAGGTCCAGACTCTGAGGGACGGAGAGAGATTTTCTACCAGCAGACAGATGTTTACGAGCAGCAGCAACAAAGAGCTCCTGAGTGGACATAGCTGCTGAAATCACCTCTCACAAGATTCAGATTTGAAAGTTAAATAAGAACTATTTCACAATCTATGGGAAAAAGTAAGGAGGTACTGATTCAACAATAACAACAAAAAAATCGACATAAAGGTGAAGCTGATTTGGTTCGACAAGATGATTTGTTTTCAAAAATAAAACTAGTAATGGAAAAGTCTGTCATTTAAATCCCTTGTTTCTTCTCTGTTGGTCCAAGGCGCCTAAAGGAACATATAGATTATGTTAATTACAAACACGCATCTCTTGAAGCTAATTATTTGTGACATCAGTTTGCATATGAAATATAACAATTGTAACTTTAAGCAGAGATGTTCATGATGGAAGAAGTGCACCTAAATACACATCATTTTGTAAACGTATCAACACATTCCTCTGTCTTTGATAAAGATGATCTCACCATTATCCTGGTTATAAGTTATGTAAATTATGCCAAGGGCTGAGGAACCAGCAGGTCGAAATCTGAGAGGTTTCTCGCAACCCAGACACCCGCCACAAACAGACCCAGGTTGACCAGAAGATTCCTGAAAGATGAATATGATAAGACATGCACTGAGTTACAATTTATTCTTACAAGACTAAAGCTTTAAAAACACATTCATTTATAAATGCCATAGCTTGAACAGTACTGGGTATTTGATAATGTCTCACTGTAGATATAGAAACAGGGTACCTCAGATCGAAGTAATAAAGCATTTTAATATACTTCCCACAAAGAAATGTCAAATACCTTGTAATGTATCATATATTTAATGACATCACCTTATTATGGGAACATTTCGTGATTGGTTTATTCAAAAACAAAATGAAAAGAAGATACGTGTTATTTTTGAAATTGATAAAGGAGTTGGCAAGGTATTCATAAAATGTAATACAATGATCTCTAGCAATATGTTAAACTGCTTTCAAATTCAACTATGAGGCTATCAAGCAACTTAAAAATATGTTTGTTTTATAGTATCTTTATCTAGTGTGATTTGCCACTGTATCTTTTGTTATTGTTATTTCTGTAAGCTGTCAACTGTATAGGGAATCTCTATCATGTTGAACAAATGAGTGGTAGTTCACCTAGTGGTGCAGCTTTCCCTTTCAAATCCATAAAGTACCAGTCTACATAAAGTAGGCCTGGAGCTTTTAGATGGCCATGGTACTACTGGTCCCTGGGGCTTTTCCCACTAAGCTTACTTTTCAACCCAGCCTTGGTCGGTACAAAACAGGCAAAAATAAAGCGGGTTGACTGGTCCAGAAACCCGAAAGCATGACTGGACGAGGCAAGGGCAAATCTCCCTGACGGACTCAGCGTGTGCTAACGTTAGCAACACAGCTAACCACCACACATTTAAACTCATTTTTTAATATCCACATTATCTCACCTTCTGAAGTCGGTTCTGTCTGTTGCGAACTTACAAGCTGAACCGACCCACTCCACCACACTGGCGGTGGGACCCTTTTTAGCGCCTGCTCCGCTCATCTTGCAGATAAAGTGCGGTGGAACGTAACAAGAGAAGCAGAAAAAGCAAGGGACACCGACACCAGGGGGAACACTTTAGATGTGACACAAGAAGTACGGAGTGCGATAAAGCTCAAACTTCCCAAAGGCGATATTCATTGAAATCCAAAGATGTCTGCCACCAGGTACCGTCGGTTCCTGAAGCTGTGTGAGGAATGGCCCCGTGACGAGGGCAAGAAGGCCCGGGATTTGGGAACGTTTCTGCGGCAGAAAGTAGCTTCTGCCTTCCGTGAGGGTGAAAACACACAGGTTAGTTTTACTGACAAAAACACAGCAAGCTAAGCTAATTGGATAACAAGGCTAACCGCTGCCGACCTTGTCTGCACAGATCGTGGATTGAGCCTCTTTTTATTTTATTTAACATTATACATACAGCTCTGCAAGGCAATGTTTATCTGGGCTTAAGTTTGTACCTCATCACATAACTTTGATAGGACGGCTAGAAAAGCTGTCGTAATGTAAACCGTGTTACATCAGTGGTACAAGTACCCTTTGTGGTGAAGTTCTGCTCTTAACCCGGAGATTTAGGAACCATCACCAAATTACAGACTCATAAGAAATGTTATTTCCGAGTCCTCCTGGTAAACTTTCACATATTGGTTCAAATGATGGTAAAATAATTATGCTTAAATGTGTATAATGTGGCAAACCTTTGCTGTCATCAATTTGTTTATAAAACATATTTTAATATAATTTCATCGTTTTCAATTGCAAGTAACCCAATGACAAATCACTGCGAAATTGAGTAACTACACTGAACAAGTAGGACGGATAGGACTGAAGATAGGACTTCACTGCTATTTTCATTAGATATGAATACACTGCTATGACAATTCAGCCGTTTCTTTATTGAAAAATATATTTCCTTTCAATAGCTTCCATATCTAGTGATGTAATTACTCTATATCAATGTAGAATTGTGTAACCACACAGGACAAGGAGGATCTTTTGTGAACATTAAATGCCTCTTTTTCATCATGTTCCATGTCATGTGATCCAATGGCTCCAGTTGAAGACATCTCTTTTTATTTTTAGAATTGTAGTCCCTTTCCTATTTTTTTTTTTTAAATAAATGTTATTGAGATTAAGCATTTTTTTTTTGACATTTCTGATGTGACCTCAAATTAATACAGCTGTTTGTCAAATATCCAACCTAAAACCAACTTCACTGTGGTCTATTTCAAAGTATACTACTAGTTCTGTTTGGTTGTAACTTTAAAGTATATCCTTTATTTAATTTCATTAAAAATGTTTATACTTTGTATTCACCAAATTGATTATAATACTACTGATATCTGATCTTTTAAGTTAACACTTGTAGGACTACAAATAACTCATATTTTAGATTATTGATCAGCTGATAATTTTCTAGATTGGTCTTATATTTTCAATTCACTGCTTTTATTTAGTGTTTTGCCAAAAAATGTTTTACATTGTACAAAATAACCCACAATTCATTGGTTTGCACTTAATATCATTTATTGGTTAATTGTCTTGTCAAATGTATTTATACCAGCCTTCTCATTGTTATCAATAATACATTGTTTTGTACCTAGCATTTGAAACTTGTCCAATTTATC